AAATTGCTAAAACTGTGCAGGTCCTTTTTTCATGTTAGCATTACAGGATGCTACCCGAATGGAGAACAGAAACGTAAAATAATAAACAGGAGCACATTTATATTTTACAATATTTTTACTCTTAGAATTTGATATATAAGTTTATTTAGGTACCGTTATAAGATGTAGTAAATTCCATACAACTTTTGCATTCAACATTTTGTTATACAAGACAGTCATGTTTAAAGATTAAAAGGCGTTTGAAAGTATACAAATATATTTGTGTTTCGGTAAGATTTAAAATAAGCAAAACACTTTGGCACACCAAGAGTTACAGAAATACAAACCTCATTTAGATCCCTTTTGGTTTTTTCTTCAAGCTCTCTGATATTCTCCATAGTCATCCCATACCACTCGTCCAGACTGCAAATGAGGGTCCGGTAGAAGTTCCCATAAAATCGAGTAAGAGCCTGAAAATTGAGATGATACGCACCAAGATTTACCGATATTACCACAGTCAAATCAGTATTCAATTAACTTTTATGCGACATTGGTGCTATTCGAAGAAAAGAAAATCAGAGGCGACGCTTCAATGGTATATCTTATTATAATATCGCGCCTCTATCCATCCAAGGGGATGCTCATGGCTCCTACAAACTACCATCGTTACATGCGTTAGCCCGGATTTATATCTTTGCTTTTATAACCAGACTGCCCTAAGGCGCTGTAAGGAATTACTTCCCACCAGGTACCCACTCACTACACCCGGGTTGAGAGTGGCAAAAGACATTTAGTGCCGGACAGGGACTCGAAGCGCAGTCAATTTGATACAAAGTCCGGCGACGTGTCCACTAGATCTCGACAACTCTATTAAACCGAAGGACACTTCGCCCCCCCTCTCGTTTATCAGTTCCTAGACACGCCGCTGGGTTCCATGAGAATAAGCGTTGGATAACAATTATTGCCTCTTTAAAGGTACTATGTCCCTTTTGCAGCCAACCTCAAATTCTGTAGAACTTCGCAGGAATTATGAATATGTCATGTATGTACTGTCTGTGAAATTTAAACGTTAGCAGTGTCCTCATATTCAAATTATGCAAGGAAACCCGTTTACTTGCCAGACTTCACTGTCAGACACTATTGAGTGACTGACTGGCTTGTTGTCTTCTTTGGTAATAACATACATGAAAAGAGTTGTAAAGGGTACATGAGCATTTGTCTACATCAATAACCCACTTCTTGTGATGGCCAAGATTAAACCGATTGAATCTTTGCGCAGCATAAAACGTATGACCATTCGGTACAATTGTCTGAAAATCTAGACTATTACTTTAGGGCTCTATAGCCCTAAAGTCGATTTGACAACTAATAGTCGTTATTTTCCCACTTGAAGACATTTTTTAGCCCCACCTTTTTTAGGGAAGTTCTAAATTAGTATTATCTTTCAAATGCAGTTGGAATTTAACTTTTTCATTTTTTTGGCCTGCAAATGGGACATAGTACCTTTAATCTTTGAACGTGTAATTTATTAAATTTGGGTATCTTACCCTGTGGATAACACTCTGAACCTTTGTTTGCAGCCCCCACCATTTGAATTTAATCTCCACGAACATGTACACCGTCAGAAACTTTGTTTCGGTGTCCTGAAGAAGAAGAAAGAAAGAAAATACGATATTTAATACGTCATATGAACGAATACTTATAGTTAGGAGAGATAGAAAGAGAGAGAGAAATAGAGAGAGAGAGAGAAAGAGAGAGAGAGAGAGTTAGAGAGAGAGAGAGAGAGACAAAAAAGAGGGAGAGAGAGTAAGTGAGAGAGTGGGTGAGAGAGAGACAGAGAAAGAGAGAGTGAGAGAGAGAGAGAGAAAGAGAGAGAGAGAGAGACAAAAAAAGAGGGAGAGAGAGAGTAAGTGAGAGAGTGGGTGAGAGAGAGACAGAGAAAGAGAGAGGGAGAGAGAGAGAGAGAGAGAGAAAGTGAAAGTAGGAGATAACAGAAAATAAGGAAAGGTGGATAATACTTAATATTTAAAAAAACGGTAGAAAAGGGATTCAGAAGAAGATGAAGTATGAGAGAAAAGCACGGGAAAAATACAAAGATGGAGATATGGCAAATGAACTATAAGGAGAAGAAGGAGGAGGAGGAGGAAGGGATGATGATGATGATGATGATGATGATGATGATTATGATGATGAAATATAGTAAAGATTATGGTTAATACGCAAGGTAAAGGAGGAAGATAAAGAAAAAAAAATAGAGGAAAACAAAGAAGAAGAAGAAGAAGAAGAAGAAGAAGAAGAAGAAGAAGAAGAAGAAGAAGAAGAAGAAGAAGAAGAAAAAGAAGAAGAAGATTAAGAGAGAGAGAGAAAGAGAGAGAAAGCATGAGACCTTTACCTTCCAGTCAGCGGTCAGAGGTCCACGACTAATTTTTTCCAGTCGGACCTTAGTCGGGTCCGTATCTTCTGAGTAATCCTTTAAAAAAAAAAATGTAGCAACAATATTATGATATTTTGCCGGATTTTTAGCCAAAAAACATTATCAAAGAATATTGCTCCCTTAAATACCCCAGGAACAATATTTTAAATCGTTCAATATTCGAATTTTATATAATTCTATGACACGATGTAATGTTATAAATTGTTTCAATGAGACAAAGTTATCAAAAGAAATCCCTCATTTACTTTTCATTACACTTCTCATGGAACGAGAACTAACGGAATAAAAATGCTTGAAAAATATAAATATTTTAATTTGTATTATATTGCATATATTCATTTATATGTATATATAAATACATACATATTACCTAAGATGTTTAATTTTTAATTTTTACTTCATTACCAGACGAAATAAATTGAAACGTTATTGGTGAATGGAAAATAACAGGACATCCATATATAACCCTAAATAATACATTAACAGGACATCACAAAAACTGGTATATTAACCTAACCCTAACTCTAACTCCAAACTCACCCTAACTTTAAAACAATATAACTAATTAAACTTTGACTAATGAATAAACCTATTGTTTCTCGGGAGGCCTTTAAGTTTCCTCTGCCTGCAAACGTACTTTAAGGACAGTATAATTCTATTATCCAATCGTTAACATGACATGAAAATGTCCTGCTAATGGCCATGCCCACTTAATGATTCATTTTTTCACTTCGTATGTTAAGGTATATATATATATATATATATATATATATATATATATAGTGTAATTAAAACAGTATATATATATATATATATATATATATATATATATATATATAGGCCTATATATACACAGATAAATACATGCGTATCGGGATTCGAATACGTCGAGATATGTTTGTGGTGATATGTTCTTTTTTTAGTTTACCGATGGAGACACGCGATCATTTACGATGTCGAGTTCAATTGTCTCTCTCTTCGCCTTTTTCTCGTCATCGAGGTCGAACACCTTCAAAAATAAGAAAAGTAACCTCAGTTTCCATTAAAATATCCTAAAAAAAGCATCTCTGTTAAAAAGGGAAAATTGAGAGTCGATGATGTTTTGTTGTTAGGTCAATGATATGACGGCAAAGGTTGAAAAAAGGGACACATTTTAATAGGAAACGGTATAGTTAGGAGAATTTAATCACGTTTATACAATAAACGACGAGCTCCCAATTCTACCTGGTAATTACCTAACGAAAATAGCATCAATAACGTATAATTTATCAAAATAACACCCCACTTGGGTTTTATTCATTAAAGAAAATCTTTTAAGGAAGAAGACACTTTTTTCCAACTGAAATACACAGTGGAAATACATGAACAAAGGTAGTACTTAACATGAATCAAGAGGTTTGTATGGTGGTTCTAAAAACACGATGGAAACTACGTTCGAAAAATCAACCTAAGGTAATTTTAAAAGCTTTGTGTGTCACCTTTTAAAACGTGCGATTAAAACAAGATTTCTTTGGGATGTACAAGAAAGTATTGAAGTTGCCCACGAGTTGATTTTTCGAAAATAGTTGCGATCTTGTTCGAAATTCTTTTTCTTAATCTGTATTTATATTGCCAAATTTACGAATTAAATTTCTAATCATTAAATCACTTATTCGAGTGGAGTAAAGAGTTATTTCAATTATGCCAAATGATTGTTCCATTAAATAGCAAATTATACCACCAGATTACAAAGTTAACAATAGGCTGCTACAGATAATGACGGGTCTTATTCCCACGCCCCGAATAAACCATTATTTACTTACGTTTTCCTCAGTTGCTTTGTCATTGTCCTTGAATATTGTCTGAACGTCAACGAGAAATGCATCTTTCATGTAATCTGGATTCTGTTTTCGTGAAAATGAAACAATCGGAATTAAACCCATTCTTAAAACACACACACAAAAAAAGTTGGGATCAAGCAAAAGAGAGGAACAACCCCACTCCCACAAACAAACAGCATAAATATCACTCCTGACACTCCTGACGACGGATAGTCAACCTGTTCGAAACGTCGAGCCACTCCCGCCACTCATCCTCTCCAAGCGCCATAGTTCTCCTTAGAACTATAAGCTAAGAAAGATATACCAACAGGCTTTTTCAAGACAATACCAACAGTCTTTTTCAGGACTACAAACCCTCAAGAAAGATAACCGAGAGTCCTTTTTAGGACTCCTCAATCCTCCCTCTCTCTCACATGGTGCACCCGCAAGTCTACTGTATGGCACTATGGCATAAATATAAGTATCAACATTTACGTTTGTTGATGAAAAGAAAACCCTGTATAGCTTACATGGAGTGACAAAATCATGTTAGAATGTTAACCCCTGGAACATAAATCAGTTTGAGAAATTCTAAGGTAGAAAAATAATGCTATTATCCTAAACCACAGGCTGCTTCAAGGAAGACGACTGACACTTGGCTTATATATAAAGGAGAAGTGATTTTTGTTGTTGTTGAAAATAGGTAAGGAACATGCACCTATCAAAACAACTAGGGTAATAGGGGAATTTTTCCCTGGATGATTCTAGAAATTGTAAAACCCTGTGTAACATTTTTAATGCGAGTCAGGATACGGGAATAGTACCTGATGATTGGCAGATTGCATGTACCACACCGATTTTCAAAGGAAAAGGCTCAAAGAATGAAAAAAAAAAATTATCGACCGATTTCAGTTGCTAGTCATATTCCCAAAATTAAAAAGGAAGTGCAATTACAGTTACTTTCCTACCTCCAGAAACATAATATGATTAATGTCGATCAATACGCTTTTCTTCCAAACAATTCAACTATAACAGGCTTACCCCACGTCTTATAGGCTGTTCACACCGCAATGAGATAGCGCGGTCTATCGTAGCACCCCCTTTTTTCTAGCGCGCGCTAGACCGGACCACCCCCAAGAGGTGCTCCAGTGGCACGCCGTTTTGGCTCGCCGTGGCTCGCTGTTAGGCGGACCGAAACGACGTTGTACCTTCCAAACCGCAGAGATAGCACGGTCTAGCGCGCGCTATCTCTGCCGGTGTGAACAGCCTCTTAGAGGCTGTTCACACCGCAATGAGATAGCGCGGTCTATCGTAGCACCCCCTTTTTTCTAGCGCGCGCTATCTCTCGTGGACCACCCCCAAGAGGTGCTCCAGTGTTGGCTCGCCGTGACTCGCTGTTGGGCGGACCGAAACGACGTTGTACCTTCCAAACCGCGGAGATAGCGCGGTCTAGCGCGCGCTATCTCTGCCGGTGTGAACAGCCTCTAAGACGATTTCTACGAAGCCTTACATAATTATGAAAGAAATGGTTGTTGCATGCTTCCTAGACAACTCTAAATGTTTTGATTGTGTTGACCACGAGCTTCTTTTATTCAAACTAGTATTCAAAATTATGGAATTAATGAAAATAGGCTCGATATGGTTCCAAATCTATTTAGGTAATAGGAAGCAAGTGGTACACTCCAAAGATCAACTATCTAATATAAGATATCTTTCTATCGGGGTACCACACGGCAGTCTCCTGGTCCCCATTTTTTTCCTAATATTCGTAAACGCTATATCTGAATGTATAACTGCAGGCTTTCGACATATTTGCTGATGATGTTATAGTCTTTGTTGCAGATAGTAAGTTAGATGATGTTACAAAGCAATTCCAAAAACGTATTAACGCTCAAAATCATTGGTATAATCTAAATCGATTACGCATTACATAAGTAAAACCAAAACAGTGCTAATAAAATTAAGATCCTCTGATATATCAAATATATTCATAAAACATAAACGAATCGAACATGTAAAATCTAAAGGATTTGTAGGTATAGTGATTGACGAAAACTTGAAGGGGAATGTATATTTAAGAGACTTATATAAATCTATTGCCTATAAAAATTATTCTCTAGGAAAGCTGAGTAAATTTCTAAATTCAGAACTATTGAACACCCCTTAAAACTGTATAATAAAAACCTGTATAGACTATGCATTCTCTAACTATGAAATTTAAAGCGGCAACATATTGATAAAACAACTTTCCTGACGAAATATTGATCACCGCCGTGATTATTTTCTGGCTATGCTTATTTTCAAATGTATAAGGGGCATTGCTCCACCTCGCTTTTCAAACGAAAAAGAAATGTATTTCGACTGCCATTGATTTAATACAAGAAATGCAGACTCTCTAAATATAGTGTAACCCAAACCCAACGTGACCTTATTCAAACAATCCTTTAAGTATGCTGGAGCGGTTAATTGGAATAGGCTCTCCTCTTAAATACCAATATAAACAAATCGTCCTTTAATCGATAAAATTTGTTCACTGCCGTTTATTCTTGTTACTACAGCATTATATGCAATAACTTACTACAATGATTGCTAACCTTATTATCTAGGAAATTACAAATACTTACATTACGTTGTATATTTAATATCTATTTTATATAGTTGTTTGGTCGAGGCCTATGTAGCTGCTAAGACATTTCTTGTTCTATATTTATTTTCATTTTCATAATACTACACCTGTCAATAATTGTTGTAGATCCACTTATCCGTCGATGTGTTTTCCTCAAAATGTGTGCATATCCCCCGTTTCCGTTTGTCCATGATGTTTTTTCCCCTTTTTATGTTGTTTCTATTTTTTTACCGCTTGTATAAAACCGCTATTTTACTTGTAAATAATCTTATTGTCAGTTCCTTAATTTGTATTTTCCTTATTTATGCAGGACCATTTTGTAAAGCAGCCTGCGAGATGATCGATGTTATCCTGTTAAAAGATGTTTTAACAAATAAATAAATAAATGAATAAATACTCTACGGTCTCTCCTATACACCCTCTTTTTCATTAATGGCCTTTTGCAATTCAAAAGTTGAATAAGACCGGTGCCCGGTTTCCCCCTTCCCCACCCAAGGATGCCGATGCCGATGCTTGGAGACTCATACCACATATACAGACATTCGCATCTACTTATAACCCCTCATAATTAAAAAGAGCAGCTCAGATATTAATGTGATCAAGGATTTGCCTCAAAGTATCATCAGAGCAAACTATTTTTCTTGTCTACGAAGAAATTAGCTCTGTTTGCAATATAGTGACTAAGAGGTACTACTACCTTATGTCAGTATTTACTGCTACAATATTTTCATCATGAACAGCAGAATGGGCGCCATTTCATGTATATTATACATATATTTGTTTTCGGGGGGGGGGGGGGGGGGGGGTGCTTCCCTTACTGAAAACTTGCATTCTCTGTAGTTGACAAAAACACATGCATAAAGATCAATAGCCCAACCGCAAACCCACATCAAACACGATGATAATTCGCTTAAAATTCAAAAGCATTATTATTTACTGAATATTCTGTGTGGATTTTCGGATGGTAGTTCCATGCTTTGCTGTGTACTTCCAAAGCGCCTTTCGGGGCGAGAAGCCTTATAAACGAAGGAACTTTTCTGGAATGAGATTGAGATAGAAAACGGTCGTGTTTAAAGAATAACAATAACCTGAAAACAATGTGTGTCTAGGTAAAATGTAAACATATCAACCTAAAGAAAAGTTTAACCTTGCATTAAACGATTAGGGTGTGTGAAGAAAAATCAGTTCTAAATATTTTATAAATATCAATGAAAATTGATTATGTATTGCGTATATATATTTCGTTATGTACAAGTAATATTTATATCAATTTATTTACAAAATACCAATTTCGATAGAATAAATGCAATTTTCTGATTGATTACAAGTACTCAAATTGCAGAATGTGATCCTGCGACTTAATGGCCACAACAATAAAATCGCTGTTACTTGGATGCTGCAAACTTTCCGAAGATTTTGTTGTTGAAAGTAGGACAGTAGATCAAGACATGTGAAAATGTATTAAAAGGAATAGTCTGAAACATTTGAATATTCCCATTTTTCAATTATTTACAACATGTATGTTTCAGACGAGATAGTTGTTAAAACTGTGAATTCATAGATTCCCTCCCTAAAAATATGTAACTTACGATGCCAAGTGAAGTATCTTGTGGTAATATTGGCATTCTTCTCCAGTATCGGATGTCCCTGGCTCATTCGTTACAATCTCTACCCCTTCGCCACCGCCCGTCTCCGCGAGGGAGGTCTTACATAAAGTGTACAGTAGCCCGATTTGGATCTTAGTGGAAAGATGAAAAGAAACAACAAACATAATGAAATTAGAAGAAATGTTCTGTTAACAATAACTTTGCTAGCCATAGTACGAGTAATACTCCCTCACGAACAGACGCCGATATTTATCCATCGGAATATAATTATGCCAGTCAGGCGAAGGAAAGATGATCGGATATTTAAAAAAAAAAATCATATAAGACGATCAACTGTCGTTTGTTATTTCAAGAACGTGAATGATTCTTAAAGGCCATTTAGGCTTCTAAAGCTCACACCCTGGCCGAAGATCGCTAGCTTTGTTTTGTTTGAGTATTATCGTTTTAATTTGATAGGGTTTACATTATCTCAATGTACTTCTACGAGTATGCAGAAATCATATTTTCCTAGTCTAGACTATATAGATATGAATTATCAGCATTACTCTCTTGAGGTCTAAAGCTATAATAGAAAATAATATGAAACTGTTTCCTTTATATAGTTTTGCCTTTTACCTCGTACCTACCTCATCAAGAGAAACGTAAGGAAGAACGATGCGGCTGTAAATAAAAAGAAATGAATAATAGTCGTAAAAATAATTACATAAAAAGACAGTGGCGGATTCAGGGAGGGGAAAAGCCCCAAGTAAAAACACGTGAATTTTACTCTTTTTTTGGGAGATGGACCCCTCCCCTGGCACTCAAGGGGGGGGGGGGGTGCGATTTTTCAAATTTTCGAGAGCCCCCCAAAAATAATTCGTGCTCCTTATCCCCTCCCCCACCCCCGCATATTCACCGGCTGGCTGTTTCGCCGCTAAATGCTTCTCACGAATTGGGCCCCCTCTTTGGCCCCCTCCCCTGCCGCCGGCTGGATCCGCCCCTGTAACAAGATGTGTCATTGTACAGATGGTCAAATGAAACCTGGTTCACATCCATGTACAAGCATTACATTTCTTTGCAGGGGCAGCTATCCCTGCGGTATGGGGGAAACGTCACCCTCAAAGACTGGAAATTACCTCAGGAGGGTGACCTCCTGGAAATTAAAAAGAAGAAGAAATATAGTAAACAAACCCCTTTAAGGCCTTTAAAAGCATAGTTTTACGATTTATTAACGGACAGTCTTTTCGCTCGATCGGTACCATCCCCCACATAAGATTTCACTTTAGAATATTTTAAAAGATAAATTAGGTACTTTTTCAGTGTCCTTAAAAAGAGATAGGATATCCAATTTTACAACAAATGTTGCACTATATGTGCGTGCGCGCGTGTGTGTATGTGTGTGTGCTTGTGTGCACGTGTGTGTGTGTGTGCTTAATTTATCAAAGGACATAGTTGATTGTAGAAAACTCCTTTAATATGCAGGTATTATGAACAGTTTCGGGTAAGCTTTATCAGAACGATGGGGGCTTTTGTGTCCGGATGCTTAACATAAATAAAGCTGTCACTTGTGTCTTTCCATGTGAAAGTATTATAATCGTTAAGTGAAGACCTGTGAAACCTTTAAAATCCAAACGTCCATTTCAGGAGATTTGACCCGCGTAGTGAATAACTATTGTATTATCTAGATCAGACGCATTCAAGGACTACTTCATTCCGTTGATGCAGTGATCTGTAAAGTTGTTTTTACACTATTCCACAACAAGAGTGAAGGACGAAATACGAGGACATCGATTCAGCATTTTTATGCTTATTTGCATAAAAGACGGATTGTGTAAGCACTTCGATATTACTCCTGTTAAACTAAAACAAATTGGACTAATTCGGACCTCGGGTTTCACGAGACTGACGACGACGACGACGACCGCGAGACCGTCGTCTCGCGGGCAATTAGTTTAAATGGATTCTACATTTTAAATTATCAGAAAACACTCACAGACACGCGCACGTGTGCACTCACGACACACACACACACACACACACACACACACGCACACACACACACACGCACACACGCACACGCACAACCACACACACACACACTCACACACACATACGCACAAACATATGCACATACACAGTTCACGCACAAACGCGAGCACATACATAAATCATGTAGATCCTTTCCATGTTTACTCTACTTCATATAATCAAGCTTATATAATATTTGTTCATGGCAACACTGTTTAAAAATCTTTCCCTAGCCATCCTGTTTGATGGTTGAATGTAATACGTACTATTCTAGATAAAGTGGGTCTGGTAGTGCCATCTTGGTCTCCTGTCGTACCTTCCTCCTAAATTAACGATGCCCGAGAACGAGAATGATGATCCTAAACGGTATGAGTCCTGCACTGCTCCAAGTGAAGTTGTGATCTACTTGTAGCAGGAGTATTGAACGCTATGAATGCTTCGTTCTCAAGAAAATAAGTCCATGGTTGAATGCATGACAAGTCAGCCATGATAGATTGTGTGGGCGTATCTACAATGCCGAACGACTGAGCAGTATTTATCATTGGAATATACTGCATTGTGTTGCATTTCTTTTTCCTAAAACAAATATTAAACAAAATCTTTTCAAGACTGTCACTACTTTGCTCAATACATGACCTTCATACTTCTCAAAAAGGTAGCCGTCTCTTATTGCTCACGGTTATCCATAATACTTCATTAAACAACTTTTTTTTTTAATGGAAGGGATAAGGGTAGAAAACTAGCAAAACTAGCAGCCACATTTAGTATGAATGTAAATCTTAGACCTTTGAAACTTTCATTCCATTACATGTTTTAATAGGACATTTTAACAATAATCTGAACTATACTGAGCTTTATTTCGTATGATAGTTAAACATTGGATATTTTTGTCAATCTTATGGGGGCAGGCTCGCACAGAACGTGCTTTTTCCTAATCGCTTTTACAAAGATGTTGTTGTATGTTTCATTTACAAATATTGTAAAGACATAATCTTTGAACAATAAAGCCAAAGGGAGAGATGAGAGGGTGGACCCATTTACTGAAGTCTAAACTAAAAATATATTTTCAATGGGAGCCAAAGTCCCTTTTTAAATTACTGCATTGCGCGATCATTAATACATACATGTAGCAACTTTTTTTTGTTGTTTTTTGTTGTATTTTGTTCAATTGAATTAAACCAGTCCGCTTCAAACAACTGACTTTGTTTTTTTAAATAATTTTTGAAAGAGAAGCTAAAGCTGGACATGTCATTGTGGGACATTGACCTTTTTATTGTCGGATTGGGGACCCGATCACACCCAGTACAATAAGAAAGGTGAAGGTCTGGCCGTACCCTGTCATTGAAAAGTTTGTGTCATATCAAACCTGGGAAACTTTGAATTCCCTCCAAAATCCATTAAAGCCCCACTGTCCTACTTGTAGCTACTTGCTCCCTCTATATATAAAACAATGCCGAATTGGTGACCATTGGTCCCCCATCATCCTCTTTTTCTTATGTCAATTGAGGGCTGATTTGATGAGATAGCCACCTGTCAGTGACCTCGCTGTGTGGTCTAATCCCTTCTGGCCCAGTAGTATTGACGGTCTTTAAAACCTTGAAAGCAAAAAGAGTCACGTCGCAAACTTTACCTTCTCCCAGGAGCCTGGCGAGGATGTCGCATGGTCTTCGGATGCATCTTTTGATTTTCATCAAGGTTGGTCTTACTAGACGGTTTAGGAACTTGATAATCAAAGTGCAACGAATTCATTAATCGCATCCATCATATATGAAGAGAGAGAGAGAGAGAGAGGGGGATAGAAGGGAAGTAGATAAGAGGGAGAGGGGGAGAGGTATGTAGGTAGAAAGATGGGGAGAAGACAATAGGAGAAGAGAATAGGAGAGGAGAGACAAAGAGAGGTAGACAGATGGAGAGGAGGGGAAAGGAGAGGAGAGAGAGGGAGAGAGAGAGAGAGGGAGAGAGAGGGAGAGAGAGAGAGAGAGCAAGCAAAACGCAGAGGAGGAAAGAGGAGACCTGGGGGGGGGGGTGTTTCACAAAGATCCTAAGTTGAACTTACCTCTAAGTTAGACTAAACAATTATGGAAAGCCACTATCTTCTATGTATTTTTTTGAAAAAGTTATTTTAGAAGGAAAAAAACGTTGATTTAAATCCTTCTTATTTTCTATTATCAAGGTGATTTCATATTCTTGATGTGGAATTTATAAAAAGCCTGAATACTTGATTTTCGCTTTCTAATATGTTTTTTGTTTGTTACGACTACATATGGCTCTCCATAATTTGTAAGTCCAATTTAGAGTTAAGTTCGACTAATAGTATCTTTATGAAACACCCCCAGATATGTGAAGAAAGAAAAAGAAAAGGCGATGAAAGGGAGGAAGAGAGAAAGAGAGCAGGAGAGTGGGGGTACTCACAAAGAGGCTAAAAGACAGAAACATAGATATATACAATGTTGAGTCAAACAAAAAAAATTACACGTAGAAAATTGGTAATCATTTTAAAAATCATATATGAACAGTAAATTATTATACATGTTATGAAAGAGTGTTATTATCCCAACGCGTTCGGTATCATTTGTGTGTGATATGTTGTCACGCTTGGATGAACAGGAGACATTATTTATGAAAGTGCAAAAATCGACTTGCGCCAACGTGATGTCTATGTTATGTTTTATCAAACAATTGGGATTTGGGTATTAATTCGGTCTTTGCAGATCCAAATAAAACACAGAGTCACACTCAGTCAGTCACGCACGCACGCACACACACCACTACACGATTATGGTGCAAACCGTGGACCAAGTTTAGAACTTGTGTGTGTGTGCGTAGGTAATCACCCACCACCGCGGACCACTCCATAGAAAACTACATCAAACCGCGGACGTACCTGCTATGGGATGATCAGGTAGCGAGCGCCTCTTCCGCGCAGTCATCGAAGGGGGCGCTGTGACATTTCGCGATCCCCTTAGGATTGATCCAGTCGATGTTGCCTACACGCTGTGACATATAATATTCAAACGCCCCCTACGTCGTAAATTTGATACGGCGGAACCGGTATCGCAACCGTGGACGGTCCCCCATTGCAGGTACGTCCGAGGTTTGAGGTAGTTTTCTATGGAGTGGTCCGCGGTTGCTGGCGTTTACCTACGCCCCCCACACACACACACACACAAACACACACACACACACACACCCACCCACACATAAATGAAAAATACACGCAGCCAAGTCATTATTACGTAATGAAAATTTCTGGAAATTCCCAAATTTCCCATTTAATATCAAAACGGAATTCAATCATAATGACGTAATGAAAGATTTGGTGCATCACAGTGAATTGTTTCATATAAAGGCCTCGGTCAGTCTGCATCTAAATGCGCTATGTGAGTGTGTGTGTGTTTGTGTGTGTGTTTCTAACGTGTGTGTCTGTGACTTTGCTTTTGAAAAAAGCGTATGCAATGCATTTCATTTGATACATTCATTTCATTCTTTTACTTTAATACTTTTGCGCAAGTCGAATTTTGCACTCTCGTAAACAATGCCTCCTGTTCATCCAAGCGTGAACACATACCACACAAAAGGGATTCCAAACGATTCGGGACATAGCACCCTTTCGAAAAATGTATGATAACCTTTCGTTCATAGCTGACTTTTAAAATATATGACAATTTTCTGAGTGTAAACTTTTTTACTCACACGGTATATATATACATATATAAAGAGAGAGAGAGAGAGAGAAAGAGAGAGAGAGAGAGTGAGAGAGAAGGAGAAAGAGCAGAGAAAATAAGTAGAGGGGGAGAGAAAGATGGGGTTATTGGAAAATCTTCATAATACTCATTTCAAGATTCAAGATTCAAGATAATTTATTGTCATGTAAAAAATACATAAAATTTGCCTTCGGACATTTAAAGGTGCTTTACATGTACATACAAATATAAATATATAAATACAGACAAAATAATTACATTTCAACATAATATTTAACAATCATCACAATTTTAAGAAAGGTTACATTAAAAGAACAAGATAAAACTGAGGAAAGGCAGTGCAGTTTAAAAAGCTTGTTTTGTTTCGTTATTGATCTCGTCCATTACTTTCTTTCCTTCTGTCTTATATTCCAATTTCAGCCCCCATTTCACTTCTAGGATATTGGGAACCATAGATTAAAGAAACTTGACAATGTCTCTCTCCATATCATTCATTTTACAAAAAACAAAACCGTGTTTGTTACATGAAATTGAATGATTGCAAAACTGTTTTTTTTTCCCCTTCAAATCTCTCGCCCCTGATGTGTTCATTACCAATCCTGCCATGTTGGTTGTCAAAGTCTTCATTGAATATAGGCTTGGTGAACTTAGGCAAATTATTATGAGCGTAGATTATATTGTGGTTGAGGGCGGTTTAACCTGAAAGTCTGACGCTTTCTTTTTGACTACAGAAGAAACCGATGAACAAACAAATTCAACAATATAATCATAAGGAACACTAAATTTATAACCTTTCACCAAAATTTATTCAAATTATACTTTTCTTTGACTGTTTGTTAAATATTTTTATATCGACATGTTAGTGCTACAAAGAATTTGTCTCCGAATGCAATATTCAACATGTTTTTAATTAAATAATTATTAAAATAATTACCTTCTATATTGTATATTGTTTGTTTACTACTTTAAAATATATCATAACATCACCCTGTCAAAAAACAAAAACAAAACGGTGAATTCAGACTAAATATAATTTTCTAAACTTATAAATCTTCGTTATTTGCAAACATGAGACCAAAGAGACTGCAAACAAACAATAAAACAACATGAAATAAACGATTAAAAATGATAAAGGGCGAAAATGTTTCCAGTTGAAATCCATGGTGTGCTTTTTTTTGTCGGAAGTGTATATGTATTTATTGTAGGAGATTTCCTAAAATGAAATCTATCAATTTTGTCCATCTATATCTCAAACATCTTTCCTTTTCTTTTTTTAATGGAAGGTAGAGCGAAATGAACACTACATACCCCGAGTTTGTTATCAACTGTATAAATTCGTTTTTATCTATTTTATCTGTATATTTGTAGTTTTATTTTTACATCGAAGTATTGTCAGCTATAAAACTGATTTCCCCATTGGCCCTGTTGGCCGAGACATTAATAAGATTTAATATTGAAATTATAGACAAATTAATTGCTAAGAGTTAAATGTACAAAGTACTGATTGAATGCAGACTAGGAAAGATTATCAATAATGAAGGCGAATCCAAAGACTTTCGTTGAAAATTTCACAAACCCCCTCCATCCAAAAAGAAATCAAAAGAAAACAAACCCAAAACCTAAAACATACACATAGACAACAACACCAACAGAAACAAAAACTTAAGTCTAAACCTAATCATATTATTGAAAACTAACATCATTAACCCTAAAAAGGCCGGGCTATTTGAGGTCGTAGTACGGCCGGGGGGGGGGGGGGCATTATGGCCCCCTTTAAGATCTCAGCCGTGAAACGGCTGATCTCCGCGAAAATGTGCATGCATGTCAAGTGAAGTGTATAGAATAATATGGTTATTTCAATTTTTTCAAAAATTCACTCATTTGCATTTTTATGGTAATTTATGCAAAAAGGTCATACAATCAAAATTTTACCCATAAATCATATATTATTCATATTTAAGCATTATTTTTCACTACATATATTCATTAGACCATTTGGAATAATAATACGACAACAACATTTGGAAGAGCCAGCTTATTTCTTATGTTTTCTCTTGTTTTGATAATTTCTTATGTATTTCATTGTTTTGTTAACTTATGTATTTTATTGTTTTTGTTGTTTTATTTCATTTCTTACTACAATTCAACTATTTTGACTCCCAAAACAACCACCTAAACTTTAAACAAGACCCAATAACCATTGTTGGATCTATTTTTTAGGAAAGATGACATTTCCATATGTTTTGTACACAAATCACAAGAATGAGCAATTTTCGGGCTGACATGCAAAGACAAAAGGTCACGTGACCTTGTAACTGTAGGTCCGATTTCCTTTTTTTTTGAAGTTGCGCAAGACTCTAAGGAAAAAAGTCAGCGAGCGGCGGGGCGCCATCCATATGCGTTCCCGAACAATCAGACAAATCGTGGAGGGGGGGGGGGGGGGATAATGCCCCCCGGCCTTATCAGGGTTAAGGGGGAAAATAGTGATGTGGTGGGAAAACATGAATTGATAACAAAAGTAGCCATAAAGGAGTCGATCACATCTTATTCTTAATGTTAATCTTTTTCGGTGATATGAAGTTGTATATTACTAGAGCCATATACTTGGAATCAAATGGCGTACTCAGTGTGAATAAATCGGGAAGACATCATTTTAATTTTCGACCATCCCACGAACTTCACCAGAGACTCGAGCCTGTTTGAATAAAGCAGAGGACCGAAGGTTTGTATATAATTACATTGTAAACATAATTTTTTTTAAATTGCAAGTAGAACGGAAACATAAAAACTACTACTGCTACTGCTACTACAACTTCTTTTTCTACTACTACTACTACTACTACTACTACTATTACTACTAGAACAACAACTACTATACTACTGCTACTACTTCTACTACTTTCACTAAAACAAAAACTACTACACTGCTGCTACTATTTCTACTACTATACTACTGCTGCTACTACTACTACTACTACTACTATTATTACTACTACGACTACTACTTCTATTACTACTACTACTGATATTACTGCTGCTACAACTGCTACTACTACTACTACTACTACTACTATTACTAGTACTACTACTACTGCTACCTCTATTACTACTACTACTACTAATACTACTACTACTACTACTATTACTACTACTGATAGTACCCTACTACTGCTATTATCACGTTCATTAGTTTTGCTATCATCATTTTTTAAATTAATATTGTCATTATTACCATTGGTATAATTATTATTGTTATTATTATTATCATTATTAATATTACTACAACTTCTACTACTACTCCTACTACTACTACTAGTAGTAGTAGTAGTAGTAGTAGTAGTAGTAGTAGTAGTAGTAGTTGTACTAGTATCATTAAACTCTAGAATTAAGCACTGAAAGGAATTTAACTTTTGCTGTGCGGACGGCACACATATTGCACACATTGCTCCACCAAGAAATATATATATATATGTGGTGGTAAATTAATTTTCTGTTTAGAGCATGAATCACCTATCTTAAATATCAAAGAATAATGGTGTACCACTTTTTAGAGAAATTGCCAATCCTGTACTGGATCTTTTCTCATGTTAGCATTAACACGATGCTAAACGAATGGGGAACAGAAACGTAAAATACTAAAACGGAGCACATTTATATTTGACAATATTTGTTTATTATTAGAATTCGATACAAAATTATTAATATATTTACGTAACATTACAAGGGGTATTAATTCCATACAATTTCAATGGTAAGCATTTTCTTATATAAAATAATAGTTAAAGAACAAAGGGCGTTTGAAAATCAAACAATGTTTATGTATCGGTAAGATCTCGAAATGAGCAAAACACCAAAAGTTACAGAAATACAAACCTCATCTAGATCCCTTTTGATTTTTGCTTCAAGCTCTCTGATATCCTCCATAGTCATCCCATACCACTCGTCCAGACTGCAGATGAGGGTCCGGTAGAAGTTCGTATAAATTCGAGTATGAGCCTGAAAATTTGAGATGATATGCACTAAGATTTGTCAATATTACCAGAGTGAAATCAGTATTCTGTTAACTTTCATGCGACATCGGTGCTATTCGAAGTAAAGAAAGTCCGAGGTGACGCTTCGAGGGGCATTGGGCCAAAGTACCCCCTCTTTTCTAAGTACCCCAAAAGTGTCCCTTATCGATTTTGATTAGTACACCTATTGAATTATCGTAAGCACACCATTTTACTTCGACAGGTGCCCTATTCTCATCTAATACGTGCCCCCAATTGAAATGAGAAGCCGTTTTATAATGGGAAATCCATAATCTCTACGGGAGCCTGCCAGTGGATGGTATTATACTGTGAGGTGGTCGAGAACTCGAAATCAATGACAGACAGATCCTGTGAGAGGGCCAAGCAAAGAGTCTTTATTAGTAGTAACCAGTAACAGGCACATTACATATCACTAATGCCGATAATCATGGAGATCATGCATTCTCCAAAACATGTCATGTTATCAAATATTAAACGAGTAAATTTGCCCTTTAAAAACCAAATGCCACAGTACAATATAGCTGAAACTCTCAACATTAACACAGGTAAATACCTGACCCAAATACTTAAACAACTAGAAGTAACAGTCGATATAAACCTCATATAAAGCAACACATTCATATATTTATCTTCCATACTTTTCTTACTTCCAAGCAAACTCCAATAATCTCCTGGTCTAACCCTAAACATTGCTCTTACTCCTATTATTCCATCTCAATTTAACATGTAACAATATTCTTTTATAGCAATCTGCGAAATAAGAAATAAGGTTTACAATGATAGAGGGCGCTAGAAACCCTGAAATGGCTACATAGTAATTAATACCCCCTAGCTTAGCAACCAAAATACAAACAACATGCAATACTTTTAAACACTCAACTTCTATTATAAGCACTTCTTTTCTATGCTCCCTACCGTTCTTACTGACTTCATTCCTAAACCAAGACTTATACTCATCACATCAATTAGAGCGTACCCTGGTCCTGGTCCTGGCCCTGGGACCAGGCACAACATTAGCGCGCACGCACTACACCCAATTTTGGTACCGCGCGTTCAACTTATTAGTGTACATAACCATGTACTACAATGTAAATGCATATAACAAATCAAAGCGCTAAGCATCACACAGTTTAACATTAAATCCTCGTTTCCAATATAATCATATCAACCCACATGATACATCAAAATAACTACTGAAATCGTTCTGACACAATACACATATGTACATAACAAATCTCTAGCATAACAGTATTAATATTTACTAAACATAACAGTGGTTCAAGTCCGGTCAACTCACCTGTGAGAGGGCCAAGCAAAGAGTGCCGGCTTGTCTTAGCACTCCGCCCTCTACAGGTCACATGGTAATTTCCTAACCCCTTACATCCTTCCCCACTTAAAACGTCATCGCCCTCGATGACCGAAGGAACAATATTTAAACCATCAACTACCAACTAACGTATAACAAATAATAACCTTGCCACTAAGGTAGCACGTGGCGACATAACACCTATATTAAACTGCACCATTACCTGTATCTTTCCACTACACAGCAGTCCCCTTTAAGAGTCATTGTGCAAGCTCGCAAAAACACAGTATACACTATAAATACATATATACAAATATAAAGACATCCCAACATGGCCAATTAACTGACTGTTACTAGCGTCGAGACGTCAAACCCAGCATAAACCGTCTCACCAAAAAGTTATCTCCCAACCTACAACTATGTTATCTATCGCCATTAAATTCGCACATAATGTCTATAAATCAGCGCTTCATGTCCAAATGTCAACCACGTATCACAAGCGGTAATTAAGTATAATGGAACCTCAATAAAAATGAATGGGGTGACCCAATGCTGGACGGATCCATACCCCTGGGTTGGGCAAAGGTACTGGTAAGGGTCCGGTCTGCTGTACCCAGCCGCCAGGTGGTTGCCCATAAGGTTGCCCAGGATGAGATGCCCACCCATCGGGATGGGGAAACGGTGGCGGTGCAGATGGTCCCCCTCTCGGTGCCCAACGTCTATATTGCTCTGTATACTGGGGGCCCTGTTCCCTGTCTTGACGAGCCCTGGTATCTTGAAGTCCTTGTCTCTTATGTGGACATTCCCGAGCATAATGTCCCCAACCGCTACAATTGAAGCATTGTACATTCTCTGCATTGCGAGCCAAGGGTGGTTTCAGCGATGTTGCTAGGTCGCTAACTGCTCCGACGACTCGATCGGCCAGTTCCTTTGCTGCCCGCATCATCTCTACTACATCTGGCCGGTTCGTCTGTGTTTGTACATGTAGCTGTGACTGGAAGGCCGTCTGGTGTACTGTTCCTGTGGAACTCTTGAAACGGGCCTCCTCCCGCTGCTCCTGTGGCTGCCGCCAGAATTTGTCATTAGTATTTTTAATTTTTGTTCATAGCACCACCTATTTTACATGTGCATCGCCCTTTAAGTAATTTCTCTTTGTTACTTAAGAAAGATTTACAGCGCATGCCTAGCGCGGGTCAATGTCAATAAAAGGCCTACAAACACATTTTTAGTACGCACGAGAAAATAGTTCCATACATTCAAGCATAAGAAATAAGTTATTATCATTAATTATGTACTGAAATGTAAAGTAATGTTCATTGAAATGCGAATAACATTGGTAAATTCTGTCAAAACTAAATCGTTGGTCGTTTTAAGTAAAATTCCAGTTGGACAAATTATTTGATATCCGTGTGCCGATAAGTTCGGTGAACGCGTTGACCCTTGGCTTTTCTGAATTACGACTTGGCCCAAGCAATACGTGTTTTGTGGGGTCTTCAAGAAACGCCAAAGTTTCAAAGTATATTTTGCTGCCCAAGGATGGAAAGGTCCTGCCAACGAGGTATGTTATGGCAGAAATGTATTTAGAACAATTTCATATTACTTACATGATCTATCAGTTTGTAATTTTGATACATTATAAGTGTTTTTTCATGTTGTGATTAGTAGCGTTCAGTGAGCTAGTTTTCCACACACGTGAGATTGTTTACATCTAACGCTAAATTATGGAAAGCCATTTGAATATTTCATGTTGAGTAATTATTCATGAATAAGAATTCTCTGTAAATCAGTAGCATATAAAACTTGCTTTTATATTCATAGTCTTAACTAGTATGCTCTTAATGCATGTTTATCAAATTTCTCGTAAGAGACTTGTAGCTCATATCATAAATGTTTTATCATGAACCCTTTTTATACTCATTCTGACAAATCATATCTGTATGAACAACTCTCGTTAAGAACATCTATCTGGTTTATTAACTCTTTAAATTGACAAGTAATCTGTATATTTACTTGTGTACATATATTTGTATCTTTCGCACGGTATTTATTATTCTGTGCTATTTTATATTTTTTATGTTCACAGTTTTCACGGCACTGTTCATCACTGTTACTTTGTTTTGACAATCGTTAAGTCAAATAAAGACATTCGTCACCAGAAAATGAACATCCGTTTCAACGTTGAGTTATTTTGATCCTGCGGCAGCAACAGTGAAAACTCGGATGGACATGACACCTGAGAAATCCATAATTGGATCAACTACTCAAGCCAAATATTTGATGTGATGTCTGGAACTGCATTCGTCCTCACCTGGCCACTAAGGAAGCTGACGAGGAACTCGGCAAGACACGGGCAATCAAACGGCTTGGAGGTTGATCATCGCTCAAGGATGTCAGGTTCATTTTCATCAAAATAATTGAAGATTGAAATCAAAGAAAGAACACTAGAACATTTATATGCGATTGAAATTTCTCGTTTGGAAACTTAAGCAATAAACAAGCTAAAGATTGATTTAGGCTTGCATATCAACTTCTCGAGAGAATTTCAGATTTAAAACCTTTAAGATCTCTAACAGAGTCTTGGTTCTTATCCCAGAATTGTAACAGCTATTTATTCTGATTTGTTTGGATAACGTAATTTAAAACAACATAAGACTTGATTCCCTTATGATGTTTGGGATTTAAATTTTTAACTAAGATTATAATTTTCTTAAAATACTTATCTAACGAGTGGAGATAAGTTTACAGAATTTGTTATGTGTATGTAACATCTCATCAAGAATAACCTTGTGTGTGCACTTATAGATGATTTTGAGACAAAATAACATGATCAAGTTCATTTGAAAGGATATTTTCTTATTAAGATTGAAAAAAATTCTAAACTAAAAAGAAACTGATTACCGATAGTGTTTTCCTTTAAGAACAAGGGAACAAAGGTCATAATAATTTGAAATTGATTAGAAATCGGGTTACCTTGTTGATATTGGAATTGATTTGGATTCATGATAATATCATTAATTCTATGCTACGTTTGATATTTTTATTATTTCAAAGCTTGAATGTATCGAATTGTATGTCCTGCGTAGCGCTGTGTTTTTATCGTGCCCGAATTGAGATTTGGGTTAAAGCAGTTATCTTTGCTATTTGTTATCAGCTACTGCCATTTGCTGTTACCAGCCCACTCCCACACGCCCATTTCTATTTCACTTCCAAACTTTGATTCAAATTCAAACTTCAAATTTCGGTCAAGATTATTTAAATTTGATCTCAAATACTGATTTTCTCGTTGGTTTATTTACCTCAAAAATATATCGTTCAATATGGAAGGGCAACAACCAACTGAAAATAACTTGACTACTGACTCGACTAACTTACCTCCTGAAACACTTCGCCGCTCCACTCGTCCTGTCAAATTGACAGAGAAAGCATTGCAGAATAAAGAAGACGACCTTCAAGGTAAGTTTTTTGTTGAACATATAGATTTGCATTCGATCATACAATCTACTCGAAATAGCTTATTGTCTCAAAACATTGATGGTGATAGCTTAGCAGTGAATAAGCTTGACATTACTGCTAGGCTCAATTCTTTGAAGGAGATATTTGTTGAGCTAAAAAGGCTCAATGAAGACTCCATTGATGATGAGGTTATTGAGGCAATGGATGAATCTTCTATTTCTGTTCGTAATATCTTATCGGATATTGATAAGGTATCCAACATGTCTTCTTCTAGACAACCATCAATTCGGTTGGCGCACTCAACACAATCACGACTCTCGAGGACATCTTCCAGATCGTCACGACGAGTTGCAGTCGCAGCAGAAGCCGCTGCATTACAAGAAGAGCTTACAGCCCAGAAGCTTCAAAATGAACGGGAAAAGGAGCTCGAAAGAATGGAACTTGAGGAAGAAATGAGGAGGAAGCAAGTAGTTTTCAAAATGTCCGAGCTGAAAAGACAACTAGAAGAGGAAAGACTACAAGGCAAGCTCAAGGCACAAGAAGCAATTATGAGAGTCTACGATGAAGAAGATGGAACCAGCACAGTCTCTTCTTCATCCTCGCGTAGAGGTAAAACTGTTGTCAAAAAGATCGAAGATCAGCCAAATCCAACTGATGTGATCCCAAGGGCATCTCCCAAGTTAGAAAGCAAATTGATTGATGAACCAGCCTCCATCGTGTCACAGCAAGCGCAAGTAGTGCTTGATCCCCAAGCTCCGATGTTCCAGCCAAGATCACCAGTTTTAGATCTCGCTGATGCCTTGGCTCAGAGTCGTCTACCCGTTCCGGAGCCGCCAATATTCACTGGAGACCCACTCCAATATCCAGATTGGGTGTCGGCTTTCACTACTCTGGTAGAGCGAAGAGGCATCCCTCCTGGTGAAAAAATTCACTACCTTCGAAGGTATCTTGGTGGTCCAGCAAAGGAGGCAGTCAGTGGCTACTTTCTCCTGAGGTCAGAAAATGCATTTGAGCAAGCAAAGAGCACCCTTCAAAAGAGGTTTGGCAATCCATTTGCTATTGCTGAAGCCTTTCGGACAAAGTTGGATGTGTGGCCCAAGATAACCAGCAAGGATCACAATGGGCTGCAGCGGTTTGCAGACTTCCTTCAACAGTGTCTGGTAGCCAAGGCTGAGATTGTCGATCTCAACATTCTGGATGATATACGAGAGATCAACCGAATGGTTGCTCGACTACCAGATCATATCGTCCATAGATGGAATCGCTCGGTGGCACAGACAAAAAGGGAGCGACTTTGTTATCCTAGGTTTGCTGACTTCGTTTCTTTCATTTGGAACGAAGCAGACATTGCTAATGATCCTCTGCTCACTGTGGATGTTGGCAAGACTAGAGAGAGAAAACAGGAAACCGCAGTCTCAAAACGGGTAACCCTCTCTACGTCTGGCTCAACTTCACAGAAGCAATGTCTGTTGTGCAAGAGACAAAATCATTCCCTGAATGACTGTCGGGAATTCCTTCGGAAAGACATGTCCCAGAGAAAGGATTTCATCAAAAATGAAAGACTTTGCTATGGCTGTCTTGAAAAAGGCCATATGTCTAAATATTGCCAAAGCAGACTGGTCTGCAAGAAGTGCAGTAAAAGGCATCCAAGCTGCCTTCATGAGGACCAAAGAGATTCGAACAAGGCCAACTTGGCATCAAGCCAACCGAAGGAAGCTCAAACCGCATCGACCTCAAATCCTCAAGCTGTAACGCACAAAGTACAAGGCGATGAACGTAGTGACCTTACATCAATGATTGTGCCTGTGTACCTTTCTAGTACAGAGAGGCCTGACAAGGAGGTTCTAGTGTATGCACTACTAGACTCCATGTCAAACACCACCTTCCTTTCCGAAGATGTCGGCCAAGACCTGGATGTACAATCCCAGCCTGCCACATTGTCGTTGACAACTTTGACAGATGAGATATCGATCTCAACCTTCAAGTATGACAATCTTCGTGTCAGAGGTTTTTATTCCTCGGAGAAAATTCGTCTACCCTCCACATTTACTAGGCAGTCTATCCCTCTGGACGACAGTCATATCCCGACTCCAGAAACTGCCTCCAAGTGGCCTCATCTCGTGTGTGTGCAGGATATGATAGCGCCAAAACAAGACTGTCCTGTCGGTCTTCTGATTGGCTACAATTGTGCACAGGCCCTTGCTCCTCTGACGTCAGTCCGAGGCCAAAATGGTGAGCCGTATGCTGTCCAAACAGACCTTGGTTGGAGTATTGTTGGAGGTCAGTCTGACTTGTCCAACAGCTTCGATTCGTTTGGCCACACATACAGGACAGTCAGCATGAAGGTAGAGGCCCCGATCGATATCAAGAAGGTGACATTCGCTTACCAGTCTCCCTTAAAGGAAGCGACTGCATCGGATTTCCTTCAGCTCATGGAAAGGGACTTCCAAGAAGCTGAACAAGCTGATGCAATGTCACAAAATGACAAAAAATTCATTCAAGTTGTCACCGAAGGTTTACGCCAGAGAGAGGATGGGTTCTATGAGATGCCTCTTCCATTCAAGAAAGGACCGCCATCTCTTCCGAACAATCGACAGGCTGCTTTGGGTCGATTAGCAGGTCTCAAGAAACAGTTCCTGAAGAAACCTGAATATCACAGTCACTACAAGGTATTCATGAAGGAGATCCTGGCACGCGGTGATGCAGAGATGGTCGGTGATAGTAGTGACAAAGGCTTGTGGTATATTCCTCACCATGGGGTATATCACCCTAAGAAGCCTGGCAAGGTCAGGGTTGTATTCGATTGTAGCGCCAGGTATCTTGGGACAAGCCTCAATGACCATCTCCTGCAAGGCCCTGACTTGATTAATCCTCTCATCGGTGTCCTGTTGAGATTTCGCCAAGGTCCTGTGGCATTCATGTGCGATGTGGAGAAGATGTACCACCAGTTTAAGGTTGCAGATCCACATCAAAACTATCTGCGTTTCTTGTGGTGGGAGGATGGGGATCTCTCCAAGACCCCAGTAGATCATAGGATGAAGGTCCACCTCTTTGGGGCAACCTCATCTCCGGGCTGTGCCAACTTTGGCCTAAAACAGATTGCGGAGGACCACAAGAAACTCGGTGACCGTGCAGCCAACTTCCTCAAGAGGAACTTTTATGTCGATGATGGCCTAAAAAGCATGTCTTCTGAACAGGAAGCAGCTGTGCTAATCAAGGATGCAACTCAAATGTGTGCTAAAGGCAATTTACGTCTGCACAAATTTGTGTGCAATAGCAAGGACGTAACCAGCACCATTCCAAAATCGGAACGTGCCACTGTCACAAATGCAAGTGTTCAGCTAGGTGAACAAACCTCACCAATCGAAAGAGCTCTTGGGCTTCAGTGGTGCGTCAGTTCTGATGAGTTCTGCTTCCGACTTACTCTGAAGGATCAACCCCTCACTCGACGAGGTATTCTAGCTACAGTTGCGTCTGTATATGATCCCCTTGGTCTCATTGCACCAGTTGTCCTTGCTGGCAGAATGATTCTGCAGGAAATGTGCAAACAAAAGATGGATTGGGATCATCCCGTTCCTGACTATCTTCGGACAAGATGGGAAATATGGAGACAGGAGATCCTGAAGCTAGAAACTGCAAAGATTCCTCGCTGCTTCCAGCCCAAAGATTTCGGAGAGGCTGAGGAAGTGGAATTGCACCACTTCTCAGATGCCTCATTATCTGGATATGGACAATGTTCATATGTCAGATTACGAAATCAAAGGGGACAAGTCCACTGCTCTCTTGCCATGGCAAAGGCGAGAGTAGCACCGCTCAAGCAGTCTACCGTCCCCAGACTTGAGCTTCAGGCAGCAACCTTATCGGCCAAGGTTGCAAAAATACTGAATAAGGAGCTAGACTACAGCTCAGTCAAGAATATCTTCTGGACCGACTCCAAGGTTGTTCTGGGTTACCTGTACAACCAGTCTAAGCGCTTCCACATGTTCGTTGCGAACAGAGTGGATTGTATTCTGAGAACCACAAGTTGTAGTCAGTGGAATTATGTTACTAGCGGTGATAATCCAGCTGACCACGCATCACGTGGACTGACAACAGAGGAACTTCTTTCGTCAAACTGGTTAGGAGGACCAGACTTCCTTTGGGAAAGTGAAGTTGCTAAGCAAGATGTCACACTAGAGGTTTCTCCTGACGACGTTGAAGTGAAGTCTTCGACAGTACATACAGTAATGTCAAAGACCAAGATTTCAACCTTTACGTCATTTGAAGATAGGTTGAACCGCTTCGCCATGTTGGACAGCGCTATTAGAGCGGTAGCTGTACTAGTGAGGTGTTGTTACAGGCGCAAGGGACATGACATAGATGATGTTGAGATCAAAAGAGTCGCTGAGAGAAATCTCCTGCATGCTGTCCAGAAAGAAGCCTTCTGTGATGAAAGACAGCAAATCAAATCTGACAAACATGCTGTGTCAAAATCTAGCCGCCTGAGTCAATTAGATCCATTTCTTGACAAACAAGACCTCCTACGGGTGGGAGGACGCATGAAGAGGTCTGAAATGGTGTATGGAGTTAAGCACCCTATTATCCTTCCGAAGGGTAGTAGACTTTCCATGCTTGTCGCACTTCACTATCATGCGAAGATTTCTCACCAAGGTAGAAATATGACCATCAACGCAATCAGATCAAGTGGATACTGGATCATCGGTTGCAGAAGCATTGTCTCATCTCTGATCGGCACATGCACCCATTGCATTAGACTAAGAGGCAAGTTGGGTGGACAGAAGATGGCTGACCTTCCATGTGAACGACTTGAGCCATCGCCCCCTTTCACTTATTGCGGTCTGGACTGTTTTGGTCCATTTGTAATCAAAGAAGGGCGCAAAGAGCTCAAGCGCTATGGCCTCATCCTGACATGCATGGCAATGAGAGCCATTCATGTGGAAGTATTGGATGACATGTCATCCGATGCATTCATCAACGGACTGAGATGTTTCATTGCTATTCGAGGAAACGTAAGGCGGATTCAGTGTGACCAGGGCTCCAATTTTGTTGGAGCCAAGCATGAACTGAAACAAGCTCTCCGTGAGATGGATGCGGACCATGTCGCCCGCAATCTTCTGGAGCAGAACTGTGAGTTCAAAATGAATCCTCCTTCCTCTAGCCATATGGGAGGTGTATGGGAGAGACAAATAAGAAATGTGCGCAATGTTCTCAATGGATTATTGGAACAGTGCGGAACGCAGTTGAATGTCTCCTCTCTACGGACATTTCTCTATGAGGCCATGGCTATCGTAAACAGCCGTCCATTGAGTGTGGATAACCTGGAAAGTCCTGATGGTCCTCTTCCGTTGACTCCCAATCATGTTCTGACCATGAAATCCGGTCTTATACTGCCTCCACCTGGAAGCTTTGAAAGGGAGGACATCTATCTCCGCAAAAGATGGCGTCGAGTCCAATACTTGACACAGTTGTTCTGGACACGATGGCAGAAGGAGTACCTGCACACGCTTCAACCAAGAAAAACTTGGACTGAAAAGAAGACCAATGTGCACGTAGACGACATAGTACTCTTGAAAGATGAAGCCATTTGTCGGACAGATTGGAGAGTTGCGAGGGTCATGGAAACAATGTCCAGTGATGATGGTCTAGTCCGGAAGGTGCGACTTCTCATGGCGACCCCAGACTTGGACAAAAAAGGTAAGCCAGTAAATAAGAGGACAACTCTTGAAAGGCCAGTACACAAACTGGTAGTTTTGATCCGCAGCACCGACAAGGCGATTGAAGACTAAGCTTGACTTTAATAGCTGACATTCACTTTTACCCAGACAAATGGCTTTGACTAACCTGGACTTTCATCCTGCCCTGACATTCTAAGAAATATTTTCTCAATTTGGGGAAGACCATTTGTATTTATAAATTTTGCAAGTCGGTCAATTCCTTGTTTTGTTTCAAATAGATAGTTTTGTTGTTTGAAAAATCAGTTAGATGATTTGGGTGGGAGTGTGGCTGCCGCCAGAATTTGTCATTAGTATTTTTAATTTTTGTTCATAGCACCACCTATTTTACATGTGCATCGCCCTTTAAGTAATTTCTCTTTGTTACTTAAGAAAGATTTACAGCGCATGCCTAGCGCGGGTCAATGTCAATAAAAGGCCTACAAACACATTTTTAGTACGCACGAGAAAATAGTTCCATACATTCAAGCATAAGAAATAAGTTATTATCATTAATTATGTACTGAAATGTAAAGTAATGTTCATTGAAATGCGAATAACATTGGTAAATTCTGTCAAAACTAAATCGTTGGTCGTTTTAAGTAAAATTCCAGTTGGACAAATTATTTGATATCCGTGTGCCGATAAGTTCGGTGAACGCGTTGACCCTTGGCTTTTCTGAATTACGACTTGGCCCAAGCAATACGTGTTTTGTGGGGTCTTCAAGAAACGCCAAAGTTTCAAAGTATATTTTGCTGCCCAAGGATGGAAAGGTCCTGCCAACGAGGTATGTTATGGCAGAAATGTATTTAGAACAATTTCATATTACTTACATGATCTATCAGTTTGTAATTTTGATACATTATAAGTGTTTTTTCATGTTGTGATTAGTAGCGTTCAGTGAGCTAGTTTTCCACACACGTGAGATTGTTTACATCTAACGCTAAATTATGGAAAGCCATTTGAATATTTCATGTTGAGTAATTATTCATGAATAAGAATTCTCTGTAAATCAGTAGCATATAAAACTTGCTTTTATATTCATAGTCTTAACTAGTATGCTCTTAATGCATGTTTATCAAATTTCTCGTAAGAGACTTGTAGCTCATATCATAAATGTTTTATCATGAACCCTTTTTATACTCATTCTGACAAATCATATCTGTATGAACAACTCTCGTTAAGAACATCTATCTGGTTTATTAACTCTTTAAATTGACAAGTAATCTGTATATTTACTTGTGTACATATATTTGTATCTTTCGCACGGTATTTATTATTCTGTGCTATTTTATATTTTTTATGTTCACAGTTTTCACGGCACTGTTCATCACTGTTACTTTGTTTTGACAATCGTTAAGTCAAATAAAGACATTCGTCACCAGAAAATGAACATCCGTTTCAACGTTGAGTTATTTTGATCCTGCGGCAGCAACAGCTCCCTCCTAATGGCAACCTCCCTGAGTTCCCGGAATTGAACTGTTGTTCCCCCCTCATATCTATCTTGGAGGGTGTTCCTAAGATATCGGTCGCCGATTCCCTCGATAAACTGTTCAGCTAGGGTGGCTTCTGGTTCCGAATATAGTCGGCCACTCCAGCTCGTGAGGCGGAGAAAACGGTTTTCAAGGTCCAACGCAAAATCTCTGACGCTTTCTCCTTCTTGCTGCTTCCTCTCCAGGAATAGTCGTTGGAGCTCCCCCACCGGGACATGGTCCGCATACGAGTCCTGAATGTACGAGAGGATATCTGCGATGCCTTTCCCCTCTCTAATTAGCGACTTCACCTCCATCTTCGGTCCATCTTTGAGATAATCTAGGATGAATGCCCCTTGTTGTTGGTCAGGAATGGCGTACTTGGCGAAAGCACTCCTCATGGAGTTGACAAAATCTGCAACCTCTCCTGGCCGGCCTCCAAATGTGGGCAGCTTTCTTTCAGGTGCCATAATAATCTGGGGTGGGGGGCGGGACAACAACTTTTCCAACTGTCCTTGGACACTATCCCTGTTGTCCTCTTTAGGTTGGAGAAGTGGCCGGTAGACATGACCCCACTCCCCTATTGGATGGATCTCCCCCCCGATAGCAGGTACAACTACCTCCATCCCGTCTGTGTCTAAATACAACAGCCCCTTGGCCTTGGGGAAATTGGTTTGTAATGCTTCTAGGCTAAGGGGCCCATCAGTACCCGTCAAAGGAAATTTTAATTTCCTTCCCCCCTCTTCAATCCTAACGTACAAAGCCATATCAGCGAGTATCAACAAAAAAATTAACAAGCTATGTTCCAATTGCATACAAGAACTTTCCTAATATATATCTTAGTCTCAAAAACTTCGATTTAAATCATGAAATATATTCACTTAGAAATTAGTCCTTTAAACTATAACACCTTCCGAAGGATTTCAATATCAATAACCAAGGTACTATATCACATGTTCCAAACCAACTTCAAAAAAATAAATCTATTGAATCTAAACATTCTCAAAACTTGACCGACTCTCAAATTTCCAATAACATCAATATCAAGAATAATTAATTACCTTTCCATAAAAGTAATACTCTTCAACCACATCTACTCACTTCAGTTAAAAACATTTTCCCCAATACCTACATGTAGCAATATCAATCTTTAATAAAAACAACTATCTTAAAACTTAAAATACATTCTTAAAGTAAGTTCTCGAAGCAAGTTCTTGAAGCAATGTTCTTTCACCACCTTGCCATGCACATCGTCGTCGCTCTATCACTCATTGCTAAATTATGTTCAATGTGTCCAGGCTAACTATTATCGTTCCACGACTATTATTCAATGAACAGCACTCCTTCTAAAACTATACGAGTTCTTGACGTACATATCTACTTGACTCTTTGCGAGGTCTTCCGGGCATGGTCTTGTCACCCTCGTCGATGATGTTGCTGTTGCACACGCCGCCGTCCACTTGGGTTCGAATCCCATCCTCGTCGCCAGTTGTGAGGTGGTCGAGAACTCGAAATCAATGACAGACAGATCCTGTGAGAGGGCCAAGCAAAGAGTCTTTATTAGTAGTAACCAGTAACAGGCACATTACATATCACTAATGCCGATAATCATGGAGATCATGCATTCTCCAAAACATGTCATGTTATCAAATATTAAACGAGTAAATTTGCCCTTTAAAAACCAAATGCCACAGTACAATATAGCTGAAACTCTCAACATTAACACAGGTAAATACCTGACCCAAATACTTAAACAACTAGAAGTAACAGTCGATATAAACCTCATATAAAGCAACACATTCATATATTTATCTTCCATACTTTTCTTACTTCCAAGCAAACTCCAATAATCTCCTGGTCTAACCCTAAACATTGCTCTTACTCCTATTATTCCATCTCAATTTAACATGTAACAATATTCTTTTATAGCAATCTGCGAAATAAGAAATAAGGTTTACAATGATAGAGGGCGCTAGAAACCCTGAAATGGCTACATAGTAATTAATACCCCCTAGCTTAGCAACCAAAATACAAACAACATGCAATACTTTTAAACACTCAACTTCTATTATAAGCACTTCTTTTCTATGCTCCCTACCGTTCTTACTGACTTCATTCCTAAACCAAGACTTATACTCATCACATCAATTAGAGCGTACCCTGGTCCTGGTCCTGGCCCTGGGACCAGGCACAACATTAGCGCGCACGCACTACACCCAATTTTGGTACCGCGCGTTCAACTTATTAGTGTACATAACCATGTACTACAATGTAAATGCATATAACAAATCAAAGCGCTAAGCATCACACAGTTTAACATTAAATCCTCGTTTCCAAAATAATCATATCAACCCACATGATACATCAAAATAACTACTGAAATCGTTCTGACACAATACACATATGTACATAACAAATCTCTAGCATAACAATATTAATATTAATTACTAAACATAACAGTGGTTCAAGTCCGGTCAACTCACCTGTGAGAGGGCCAAGCAAAGAGTGCCGGCTTGTCTTAGCACTCCGCCCTCTACAGGTCACATGGTAATTTCCTAACCCCTTACAATACAAAATATGCTTACGAAGTACGAAGTTTAGTCAGTGCCCATAGTGATAATGCACGCGCCCGCAGGGCAAGTGCGTTATCGACATCGCACTGACTAGACTGAGTGCAGACTCTGGAACTGCCCTAACACACAAGCGAAACATTGCATTATTTGTTTTATAAGACGGATCAGCAATACATTCTTACTATAGTCTAGATCTAGAGTATATATATATATTGACAATGACAATTATGCACAAATTAAATTTGGCTGAATAACGCGAAATAGATATCGGCAGGTATCGAGTGTGTGTTGCACGTTGGGAAAACTAATGCACGCCCACGTGTTGTCAATTATTGACCAATCGGATTGCTTAGATTATACAACCCATCTCATAAATCTGGTTATAACATCGCGTCTCTATGTATCCTACATGCCATAGACTGGATTTATATCTTTGATTTAACCAGGCTGCCCTATTAAAGGCGCTGTAAGGAATTACTTCCCACCAAGCACCCACTCACTACACCCGGATTGAGAGTGGCAAAAGACATTTAGTGCCGGACAGGGACCCGAAGAGCAATCAATTTGATACAAAGTCCGGCGACGTGTCCACTAGATCTCGACACCTCTAATCAAAGGACACTTCGCCCCCCCCCCCATTTATCAATCCCTAGACACGCCGCTGGGTTTCCCATGAGATTATGCCTAGGTCACATTTGCTCTACGGCTAGGAGACGGCAGCCGTACGCCCCCGAAGTCGAGAATTACTTGCGTTGGCCGCAGAGAATCTGCGGTCGCCTCAGGGTCACCCTAGGGCGTATTCCTATCTTATGAGGAAAGGAGGTTCGGCGTAGCGATTATATACGCCGTAGCCATGCTGTATAGTGGTTCCACGTCGACCGTACGTCGGGCGTACGGTGTCCTTGCGTTTTTATATACTTTATTTATTTATTTTTTAATTTTTTTTTTGGATTTTATTTCTGCATTTTTTCCAAATACAATATAACTGAATTACAAAGAACATAAAAATGTAAGGTATAATACAACATAAACAAACAATAATTTCTTCATGTCAAAATGTTTTTTTTACATAATATATGTACATAAAACATACGCTGTCGCTCATAAAGTTGGAATATTTTTGTTTAACCCCAATTTATGGAATTATTTTTAAAATAATTTAAAAATAATACATCTAGATAAAAGTATACATTCTTAGATTTTATTGAATAATAATTTGACAATGTGTGTTTTGCGTGACTGCTAAAGCATGTGTATGCTACTATGCTTTTCAACTAGGGGACCTACGCCCTTAAGTCATAAATGAAAGTAATGAGGATTAATGTTCCACAAAAGAGCACTAATATAGCACATCGACACGGTTTTGATCCTGGGGCCTCGCAGTTACGAGGCCATTGCTTTGTCACTGAACCACGACTGTACGCAGCGGGGGCTAGGGTAGGGGGCAGTTTCCATAAATAAAATAAAACAAAGAAAATGCAATAAATTTTCAATAATTTATTGCATTTTATCCCGGTCCCGAACATAAAAATATTCTCTGGACGGCCATGCATTATGGCTCAAGGCATGGGCACACAAAGGATTTGTTTAGGTTGGGGACCGGGGTAAAATGCAATAAATTATTGAAAATTTATTGCATTTTCTTTTCTTTTTTTAAATTTATGGAAACTGTCCCCTACCCTAGCCCCCGCTGCGTACAGTCATGGTTCAGTGACCAAGCAATGGCCTCGTAACTGTGAGGCCATAGGATAAAAACCGTGTCGATGTGCTATATTAGTGCCCTTTTGTGGGGCATTAATCCTCATTACTGGCATTTATGACTTAAGGGCGTATGTCCCCTAGTTAATAAGCATAGTAGCATACACATGCTTTAGCAGTCACGCAAAACACACATTGGCAAATCATTTTTCAATAAAATCTGAGAATGTATACTATTATCTTGGTCTATTATTTTTAAATTAATTTAAAAATAATTCCATAAATTGGGGTAAAACAAAAATATTCCAACTTTATGAGCGACAGTGTAACTTATTATTGCCATAACATATTATCATAAATTTAAAGTATTATCCGAACTATTCTGTTGGAAAAGTGCAGGAGACCGCAATCATAAGCAAAGCTTGACAAGGATGGCGGCCTCAAAACCCCCCCCCCCAAAAAAAAAAATAAAAAATAAAAATAAAAATAAAAAATAAAAAATCTTAAGGTAAAACTTAAAATGAAAAAGTGTTTAAACGATCTTTGTGTATGAGTTGGTGAGTGTGTTGTGCAAGTATGTATAAGTGTGTGTGCGTGTGTTTGTGCGTGCGTGTGTACGCGAGCGTGCGTGTTTGTATGTGTTTGTAACGAATAGTGGAAGCGCACGTAGCTCTGTGTGGTATAGTGGAAACAAATACAGCCTTTACAATAAAGGAAACTAAGAATAATCCAGGGGTGAAGCGGTAGAATCAGTCTGGCCGCACGGTCGCCGCATGGTCCCCCTTCGACCGCCTTGCGCGCACCTTGCGGCTACCTTGCGTCTGCCTTAGTATTGTTCAAAGACCTAGGACCTCCGCAGGGACGCCCTAAGGCGACCGTGCGTCATCACTTCAAAGGCCGTACGGCAGCCGCAGATTTTCTGTCCCCACAAATTAAAAATACGCCGTGCGGCTAACTTATGTGTCCGCTACCGTATGTCACCTTGGGAATGCTGCGGCGCCCCTGTAATTGCTATTGGCCGTAGATATCTTAGACCGCACGGCCCCCGCGGCAAATGTGACCTAGGCATTATGCATTGGTGGCAATTATCGCCTCTTTAATCTTTGAAGGTGTCATTTATTAAATGTGGCTATCTTACCCTGCTGATGTCTTTCTGAACCTTTTCTTGCAGCCCGAACCACTTGAATTCAATTTCCATAAATATGTACACCGTCAGGAACTTTGTTTCAGTGTCCTGAAGAAGAAAAATGAAAGAAAATACGATATTTAATACGTCATATCAACGAAAAACTTAGGAGAGAAAGAAAGAGAGAGAGAGAGAGAGAGAGAAAAGGTGAAAGAAAGAAAGAGAGAGAGAGAGAGAATAAGTAAAAGAGTGGATGAGAGAGAGGGATAGAAAAGAAAGAGAGAGAGAGGGAGAGAGTAAGTGAAAGAGTGGGTGAGAAAGAGAGAGAGAGAGAGAGTGTGTAAAAAAGAGAGCAAAAGAGAGAGAGAGAGATAGAGGGAGAAAGAGTTAGTGAGAGAGTGGGTAAGAGAAAGAGAGAGAGAGAGAGAGAGAGAGAGAGGAGAAGTGAATGTAACAAGAGAATGAATAGGGATAAATACTGAAAAAGAAGTAGAGGAAGGTGAAACAATAGAAAAAAGAGGGGGAAAAGAAGAAGAAGAAGGAGAAAGAAAGGAAAAGAAGAAAAAGAATGAGAAGATAAACGGAGAGAGAGACAGAGAGAGAGAGAGAGAGAGAAAGCGTGAGACGTTTACCTTCCAGTCAGCTGTCAGAGGTCCACGACTTATTTTTTCCAGACGGAACTTAATCGGGTCCGTATCTTCTGAGTAATCCTGTACAAAGAAAGGAGCAACAATGTTTTTTATGATTTTTCGCTGGATTTCTAACAAAAAAACCAAGATCAAAGAATATTACTTACTCAAATATCCTGGAAACCAAATTTAAAATTGTTCAATATTAGAATTAAATTTAATTCTATGACACAATGTGATGATATCGATTGTTTCAATGAGACAAATTTATTGAGGAAATAACAAATTCCCTAGTAATAGAAAGACAGTTACTTTTCATTATACTCCTCATAGAACGAGAAGTAGTAGCACACACATGCTTTAGCAGTTACGCAAATTATTATTCAATACCATCTGAGAATGTATACTATTATCTAGATCTATTAGGAATAGATCATTGTCAATATCCTTCCATAAATTGAGGTAAAAATAATTATTCCACCTTTATGACCAACAGTGTATATATTATACATACAATTAGGTACATATGTAAGTACATGTATATCGGAATTGAATACATTCAGATATGTTTATGGTGATATAGTTTTTGTTTCGTTTACCGTTTGGCTCACTTGATCATTTACGATGTCGATTTTAATTGTCAATGTCTTCGCCCTTTTCTCGTCATCGAGGTTGAACACCTTCAAAAGTAACAAAAGTAAACCTCAATTTCCATTACAATATCCTAAAAAAGCACCTCTCTTTAAGTAGGGAAAATCGCGAGTCGAAGATGTTTTGTTATTACGACAATGATATGAAGGCAGAGGTTGAAACAAGGGACACATTTAGGAAACGGTAAAGAAGTTAGGAGGATTCCATCATGTTAATACAATATCCGATGAGCTCTCAATTTCTACCTTGTAATTAGCTAACAAAATAAAGTCGATAACGTCTCTCTCTCTCTCTCTAAGTGCCATATCGTTTGTCTTTGGCAATCATGCTGTTCTACAACACTCGGCTTCTAGCCTTCTGTGTTAGTACCACTCCCAGTTCTTTCACTCCTCTCTCTCTTCCGACAATTTCTGCAGACTGTCCATCCAAAGTATCCTCCTTCTTCCCCTACTCCTTCTTCCCATAATTCTCCCTGTCAGAGCAAGATTCTCTAGGCCTTCTTACGTGTAACGTGACCCATGAACTTCAACTGCCTAATCAACATCTCACGTACCATTTTCCTTTGCACTCCAGCTCGTGTAAGAACTTCCTTATTACTAACTTTGTCAGTCCAGGGGATTTTCATCATTCTTCTTAAAAACCACATTTCGCAACTTTCCAAACGCTTTTAAGTATCAGAGGCTAAAGTCCATGTTTCACTTCCATACATAAGTACCGGGTAGATGTAACAATTCAATACTCTTATTCTGGTCCTCATACTCATTGTTCGATTTGTCAGAATTTTGCCTAACTTTGGAAATGCAGATTTAGCGAGAGCTATCCTTCTCTTGATCTCTGTCTCACATCTGGCATCCTCGGTGATCATGGTGCTGAGGTAGTTAAATGAGGAGACTTGTTTAATAATCTGTTCTTTCAGGTTCTAGTTACATAACGTATCATTCATCAAAATTACACTGTACTTGGGTTTTATTAAAAAACACCACCAGAACAAAAGGCTCCTACAGAAAACTACGGGTCTTGTTGCCATGCTCCGAATGAGCAATTATATACTTACGTTTTCCTCAGTTGCTTTGTCATTGTCCTTGAATATTTTCTGAACGTCAACGTGAAATCCATCTTTCATGTAATCTGGATTCTGTTTTCGTAAAAATGAAAAAATAAAAAAATAAACCTATCAATAGTGTCTGACGGTGAAATCTAGCAAGTAAACGGGTTTCCTTGCATAATTTGAATACTAAGACACTGCTAACGTTTACAGTTTAAAGATAGGACATACATGACATATTTATAATTCCTGCAAAGTTCTACAGAATTTGATGTTGGCTGCAAAAGGGTTATAGTATCTTTAAGGAACACAACTGATACTTGTCTTATATATACAGGAAAAGTAAACGTAAAAGGAATACTCTACGGTATCTTCTACACTCTCTTTTTCATTAATGGCGTTTTGCAATTCAAAAGTTGAATAAGACCGGTGCCCAGTCTCCCCCTTCCCCAACCCACGATGCCGATGTCCCGCAATGCTTGGAGACCCATACCATTATACAGATATTCTCATCTATTTAACACCCCTCATATATACAATGAAAAGGGCAGCTCAGATATTCACAGTGATCGAGGGTTTGCCTCAAAGTAACATCTGAGCAAATTATTGTCTTGTTTATGAAGAAATGAACTATGTTGGAAAGAAAGTTTATTCTTATACATTAGTTAACTAGGAGGTACGTATAACTTTATGTTTATATTGCTACACTATTTTCACCATGAACTGCAGAATTAGCACCATGTCATGTATATTACACATATTTTTCTTTTTGAGGGGGATGCCCCCGTAACTGGAAAGCTTGCATTTTCTGTATGTGAAAAAACCATACATGTATGTATGGAGATGGCACTTCGCTTAAACTTCAAACGTATTGTTATTTACAGTATAGGCTGTGCGGATTTTCGGATAAGTGTCCGTTGTTATGTCGTGTATTTCCAAGGCGCCCTTCGGTGCGAGCATCCTTATAACACGAGGAACTTTTCTGGAATGAGATCAAAATAGAAAACAAAACGATCGTGTTAAAAGAATAACAATAACCTGAAAAGTTTTTTCTAGGTAAAATGTAAAAAATTAACCTAATAAAAAAAAAAAAAACTTGCATTCTAATAGGTAAACCATTTGGGTGTGTAAAGAAAATATAGGGTAACAAAAACCATGCGTAAAGGGTGCGCATGAAACCTAAAATATGACATTTAAAAACGCCTCGCCGGAAAACCACAAAAATATCACTGTTACGTGGATGCCAAGAACTTTCCGATTAATATTTTTGGAAAGGAGGACTGTGGATCAAATGACGTGAAATTGTATTAATAGGAATAGTCTTAAAGATTTTGATATTTCTATTTCCAGTTATTTACAACTTGTATGTTTCAGACTTGATGGTTGTTAAAAACTGTGAGTTCATAGATTCCCTCCCTAAAAATATGTAACTTACGATGCCAAGTGAAGTATCTTGTGGTAGTATTGGCATTCTTCTCCAGTATCAGTTGTCCGCGGCTCATTCACTATAATCTCTACCCCTTCGGCACCGCCCGTCTCCGCGAGGGAGGTCTTACATAAAGTGTACAGTAGCCCGATTTGGATCTTGGTGGAAAGATGAAAAGAAAAAACAAACAGAATGAAATTAGAAGAAATGTTCTGTTAACAATAACTTTGCTTAAACCATATTACGAGTAACACTCCCTCACCCCCCGTTATTCATCCACTCGGAATATAATTATGCCAGTCAGGCGAAGAAAAGATGACCGGATATTTACAATAAAAATCAACTGTCGTTTGTAATTTCAAGAACGTGAATGATTCTTAAAGGCCATCTAGGCCTCTAAAGCTCAAACTTCGGATGAAGATTTGTTTTGTTTTGTTCATTTTTGTTTTAATTTGATAAGGTTTATATTATCTCAGTTTGCTTCCACTATTTCATTCTACAAGTCGGCAGAAATAATGTTTTCTTAGTCTATGTGGATATGAATTATCAGCACTACTCTCCTGAGGTGTATTGCTAAAATAGAAAATAATATGAATTATTTCCCTTTATATAATTTTACCCTTAAAAGAATAAACCATATTATACCTACCTCATCAAGAGATACATAAGGAAGAACTATGCGGCTGTAAATAAAAAGAAAGAATTAATAGTCGTAGGAATAATTACATAACTAGATGTGTCGTTATGCAGATGGTCAAATGAATCGGGAGGTATGGGGGAAACGCCACCTCAAAGACTGGAAATTATTTCAGGAGGGCGACCTCCCGGAAAAAGAAAAAAAAAGGCAAAGAAACAAAGTAAGAGTAAAGTTATTTCGCTCGAAAGTTACAGTCCCTCACATATTAATGGTTTCACTTAAAAATATTGTCAAAGATCAATTAGGTACTAGATAGGCTGCATATCTATAGGCATAGATTTCAGTGTCTTTTACAAGAGATAGGTTATACAATTTTAAAACAAATTTTACACTGTATATGCGTGTGTGTGTGAGTGTTTTGTGATCATTTAAAATAGAGAAAACCATGTAGACTGACTGCACGTGAGATGACGGTCCCGCGGGTGGCCGTCAGTCTCGTGAAAAAAAAATTGAAAATTTGGTTGATAGTAATTCTTTAAAATGTTGATATATTTGGATGCCCCTGTGGATGTATTATAAGCACTAAAAAAATTAACCCCTAAAACGCTTTTGCTTTCGAGAAATTGAATAATCAACAATTTACCGGTGCTCCCGGTAAATTTCAAATATTTCAAATAGCGCCTAAGACCATTCCATGATAGCTGCGACCATGAAAATCTCAAAATATGTAGTTCTGATATATAATTTCCAAACGGGAATAGCAAATTGGTCGACTGTAGTAAGAACAACAACATTTTTTTGTGTTTTCAATGATATTTTATTTTCTCCATTGCTTTTCACAAACAATAACAAAATCAATACATAAAATAATCTGCATGTTAATATTATTATATAGAATATGATTTTACATTCACAACATTGTTGTGAAGCTAAAGAAATATTAGTCTTGAGAGGGCGCTATACGACATAAAAGAGTATATTATTTATGTGTGTGTGTGTGTATTTGGGTTTTTACAGACGTGTATCAATCAGATATGATTATTTACGTCTGGGGACCGACTTTTAACGTCACCATCCGAAAGACGTGACTCAGTTTCGAACCTGCGTTCTCGGCTGAATCAGTTTGTAACTACCACTGTAAGCTGGATTACAGGCGCACGCCACAACGCCTAGTAAATCAATAATGATAAATCAAAATTGATTTTAGCAACTGTCCACCAAAAAAAGTATATTCTAATCTCAATCTCATTTACGATTTCATCACTTTAGACTCGATTTCAGCCGCGACAACGATCATTGAATATTGTAAAATCGCATATGCTTCTAATATATTCATTTGAACCAAAGTCATGACCCCATACCAAAACTTTGTAATATCTTTAACAGGAGTACCATCGAAGTGCTTTTATGTTACGCCCTTCTTGGCCCCAAGAAACAAAAATCACACACGTCTTCTGTCATGCAAATAAGCACACAAATGCTGGATTGATGTCCTTGTTTGGAATTGAGATAAGGAAAGGGATTTCAACCTTTCGTCAGTCCCTCTTTTATGAAATAGTCTAAAAACAACTTTACAGATCACTGCATCAACTGAAAGAGGTTGTCCTTGAATGCGTCTGAATTGGATATTACAATAGTTATTAACTACGCGAGTCGAATCTTTTGAAAAGAACGTTGATTCTTTGGAGGCTACAAAGACCTTTAACTAAAGATTATAATACGCTCACGTTTTCAACATAGCTGATTTCAAATTTGATATGAAGAAGTTTACATGATATCGTTGTAAGACTTGTGCTGGACAATATCGTGATGGTTAGTGCTATTTGACGCATAGTGACAGTTTTATTTGTGTTAAGCGTCCAGTCACACGAATCACAATCGTTCTGATAGGTTTACCTGAAACTATTCATAATACCTGCATATGAAAGGGTTCTTCCGCAATCAACAAACTATATCATCTGACAAAAAACAGCTTGCTTCAAATGAGCACACATAAATACACACGCACGCGCATACATTAAAGATAAACTTGAGTTCTGGTAAAAAAAAGAAAATGAATTCTCACAGAATCTAACGAAACTTACACTGAATGTTCAAAATAACAAATAAATGTCATGTGCCAAACAATTTTGGAAGAAAATGTATACTGGCTGAGTAATGAGCATAGAAAGATAAGGAAATCAGGGTAGTACTAGCCCCGACACCATGTGTGTTGTCCAGGCGCGTACACAGGGGGCGGGGGGGGGGGGTTAAACCCCCCCTTTGGTATTTTTATGTGTGTAAACCCCCCCATAACCCCCTAAAACCCCTCCCCCCTTCGGATTTTTTTTTTTTTTAATAATTATTAACAAAAAATAAATTAATTATTAAAAAAAAAAAAAAAAAAATTATTCCCATGGCTGACCTAAAAAAGGTCACCTTACCCCCCCCCAAACGGAGCAAAATGTCAATGTTTCAAATTTGGAGACCAAAAAAAAAAAAAAGAGTGTCCTCTTACCCCCCCCCCCCCCCCCCCCCCCCCCCCCCGCTTATTCAGCGGCTGGCTGAGTCGTTGCGAAATTTTCGGCCCGATTTATAAATGTCAACCCCCCCCCCCCCTTGAAAAAAATCCTGCGTACGCGCCTGGTGTTGTCCCATATACATCTTTCTGTGTAAGTGATTGTAACTTTACCAAGACTCTGCCAAATTTATGATGATTTTGATGACTCCAGAACCTTGCATTACACACCATTACTTACATGCTATATGATCAACTTTTCTGATCCATTCCACACCTTTTCTTTAACAATGCAATCGCATTACCAGAACTCAAGTTTATCTTTAACGCTGTAGATCCTTTTTCATATTTACTCTATGTTTCCTTGCAGTGCCAGTGAATAAATTAATGTGATATCAAAACAATGTTTAAAAATCATGCCCTATCCCTCTGCTTTTACAGTTTATCTGTCACTTTCTTAATATGTTACTATGGAAGAATCGCGAGATACAGAGTGGAAAGAGATTAATTACCTATAACCTGGAAGTGTTTTTACAAATATAAATGTTACCCCGGTCCGGGGGTAAAAATTATCAATTCTGAAACGAAATGAAGAGGCTGGTCAGAATAGGTGTTTACTGTGAAGCATCATGTACAGAACTGATCTTTAAAGGTAAAGGCCAGTAATGGTCATGCGATTGCATTGTGAAAGAAACGTTGTGGAATCGATCAGAAAAGGTTGATCATCTAGCATCTAGCATCTGCAAGGTTCTGGAATCATCAAAATAATAAGAAATTTGGCCCATTCTTCGTAAAGTTACAAGCACTATACACAGAAAGATGTATATGGGACTACCCTATATCTCTCACAGAGCATGAGAGAAACAAATTTACCAAACATATGAACTAGTATGCGGTTTCCCGGCAAATTTTTTATCATCATGTATTAGTCAAAACATATTCTTTCACATGATTGGTAATGAGAGTTTCCATTTCATTTTTTGAAATTGCGGCGTTTCCAATACTAGTCTTTACCTTTAATAACATAAAGATAAATATGGAATAACATATTCCAATAATGAGACTAAATACAAGTAATACGGATTAAATATGAATATGAACACAGCTACTCTAAGTTCATAACAACATTGGTATAGGCATCTGACTGTTTATCTTCTAATCTAAACACGGCTAAATGTAATTATAGACCAAGGTGAACCAGTTAAAAGTCGTTTTGTGTCTTTTTACACAATAACCCAACTTTCTCCCATATCCCGACCTGTCTATAGTCGCAGTAACCCTAAAATCCTGTTCTAAAATAATACCAAATTACTTTCTCAATTCTAACAAAACTCTTCTCGATATCAGTGACAAAAGTATAATAAAAGATACAAGGAGTATATTCTAACAAAACCACACTCAATCTTCAACTATGGTATTAACAGTTAAAGAGGGAAACCAGAAATGAGAGGGAGGAAAAGAGAGAGACATGAGCGAAAGAGAAAGAGAGAAAGAGAGAGAGAGAGAGAGAGAGAGAGAGACTACAAATGCATAACAACTCATTTATCAAAGACCTGAATCTTGAACTATGAACCAAAGTTCTCTCTTTTCTACGATATTCCCTCATTTCTCCAGTTGGTGGACTACGGCTGACCAAAAAGTCATTAGTCATAACATGTCACAGTTATCTCTGATAAAGACCAGAGAAACTTCTCCCAATGCACAGACTATTGAATTGGTATCAGGATTAACTTTACTACTACTTTTTTTGCTCTGCTGGTATAGTGGGGTATGAACTAGTCACTATACATCTCACGTTAAGCATACACACATTATGAGGTGTGTTCACACTAGTTGGTTTAAACTGGCTTAGTATGAATATAAAGATTTACTACTTCTACTACATAATAATACGACCCTTATATAATATAAATGCTTCATAAATATAACTAACACCATACAATAGATACATGTCACGTAGATACATATGTTAAGCCTGCATCTCTGAACAATAAATCTGGTTTTATAAAATACACTTAATTGCTTCTAAAATCACTAATAACATTCACTTCATCATTAAACACGATTTGCAGCACAACAATGTAATATATGAATTGAACATAATAATTAACTTAGACAGCCAGACTTGAAAGAGATTAATAGTTGTATATAGGTGTTTACTGTGAAGCATCATGTATAGCACTGATGCTATCAGGCAGAAACCACTAACATGACCAACGCCTTCGATTTGGTTTCGTTTTGGGGAGAGGGCACAATATGAGTTACTACTTCTTGAAAACAGGGGTTGGGTTTCTGCATCTTTGCAGCAAGCGCTGAAGAATGTCCAAACTTTTTAAGATACTGGTGTGTAAAATATATGACAATACTAACAAGATATATGTATACACAATTTTGAGGGAGGCCTATTTTCCAGGGCCTTACATAAAATACGATAACACCGAAAATGGTAAAATGGGAGGAATACAACAATTTTACCCCTTCAAATATTTTAGTTTAACTGATGATTATAGTAATTTTACCACAATATATTGAACAAGACCAACTTAACGGAAATTGAGACGTTTCTGTCAACTAAAATCGCTCATTATCCCATTATACTTGAGGCACAATATGACAACAAAAATGGGACACAAAATGGGACACAAAAGCCCGTATTCTCAAAATTCTTAACATCCTTTGTTAGGTTTGTAAAACCTAATTTTTTAAAGCAAATGCCTAAACCCATGGTTCAAATCTTTCTAGAATATTGGCCAAAATGTCTACATACATGTACCTCTGACTTGCCCAACAAGTTACTTGCTTGGATGGTTTAATGTAATACGTACAATTCTGTATAAAGTGGGCCTGGTGCTGCCATCTTGATCTCCTGTCGTACCTCCCCAAGTTAACGATGCTCGAGAAGAAGATGTTCCTGAACGGTATGAGTCCTGCACTGCTCCAGGCAAAGTTGCGATCTACCTGTAATACTGAACGCTATGAATGTTTCGTTCTCAAGAAATTAAGTCCATGGTTGAATGCATGACAAGTCAGCCATGATAGATTGTGTGGGCGTATCTACAATGCCGAACGACTGAGCAGTATTTATCATTGGAATATACTGCATTGTGTTGCATTTCTTTTTCCTAAAACAAATATTAAACAAAATCTTTTCAAGACTGTCACTACTTTGCTCAATGCACGACCTTCACACTTCTTAAAAAGGTAGCCGTCTCTTGTTGCTCACGGTTCATAATACTTCATTAAACAATATTTTCTAAAAAAAATGGAAGGGATAAGGGTAGGAAACTAGCAAAACTAGCAGCTACATTTAGTATGAATGTAAAGCTTAAAACTTGGAATCTTTCATTCCATTTAATTTGTTTAATAGGAATTTTTGACAGTAATCTTAACTGAACTGAGCTTAACTTTGTATCACAGTTTAAAATTGTCAACCTTATGGGGGTAGGCTCGCATAGCACGTGCTATTTTATAATCGCATTTACAAAGCTGTTGTTATATGTTTTATTTTTAAAGACGCTTATTACATACATTGTAAATACATGATATGTAAACAATAAAGCCGAAATCCCCTTCACTACAGTCTGAAATGATAATTATTTTTCAATGAGAGTGATAGTTTAATTGCTGCATTGTGTGACAGTAACTATTTTAATTGCTGCTTTGTGCACTGAGTAATACATGCATGTAGCAACCTTTTCTTTCTTTCTTTCTTTTTATTTTGTGCAATTGATCTGAACCATCCCGCTTAAAAAAACTGACGTTAATTTCTTTAGGTTAGTATAATTCATGAAAGATAAGCTAAAACTGGACATGTCATTGTAGGACATTAACCGTTTTTATCGGATTGTGGAGCCGACCTCCCTCGCCACAGTTAAGCTATTGTCTTCTCACGGGGGCTCTTTTAGTGCTGACGAGGGCTCTTATTTTAATACAAATTTCCATTAAATTGGTACCCATGAAACTCCTAAATTCCTTGGTATTTTATCGTTATCATTTATTTAAGTTGGCATTTTCCCTCTTAGAAATTTACTTGTTACATATCTGTGAACTTTTATCCCCGTGATCAGTGGCGGATCCAGGGGGCCCGGGGGCAGCCCCCTCCCCGGAAAAAGAAGGGAAAAAAGAAGGGGGGAAAAAAAGGAAAAAAAAAGGGGAAAGATTTTTTTTTTGTTTGAAAAAAAAGTGTTCCTTTCCCACTTGTATCACAGAGAAACAACAGTTTAAGTTAAGTCTAACGTTAACGTTAATTTGTTATTAAAATGTAGAGTACGGCCCTGTCCTTAGGCCTAATTTAGGTCGTAACTGTTACTGTTTGAAAATCTAAAGTAAAATAAGACGGTTTTCATGGTTAGACCAAGTAATTGAGAAAAAAAAAAGTTTACCCGTCTCTGAGACCAGGTCAATCAATCTTCTAGATCCATTATTAGGGTCTAACGTTAGTAGATATAAGGTAGATGCAGGCGCGGATCCAGCGGGGGTGAGCGGGCCTTGCCCCCCCCCCCCCCCCTTCCGCAAGAGAGAGAGAGAGAGAAGGCAAAGAAGGGAAAGGGCAAGAGGAGAGAAAGGGAACGAAAGAAGAGGAAGAAGAAAAGAAAAGGGGGAAGAAGAAGATCGGGGGGGGGGGGCGAAAGGGCCTTGCCTCCCAGGCTGTTGCCTCCCCCCAATAAAACAAAATAAGAGAGAAGGAAGGAAGGAAATGGAAAGAAAAAAAGGAAAAAAGGAGATAAAGGGAAGGACAATTGAGGAAGAAGTAGAGAAAAGAAGGGGGATATCAGTTGCAATTTTCCCGCCAACAAGTTGCGGATGTGGGGTTGCCCGGGTTGGGGCAAAAGGCCTTTACCTCCCCCGCCCCCGCTAAAAAAAAGAGAGAAGGAAGGAAAAGGAAGAAAGGAGAGCTAAAAGGGACCAAAAAAAGAGGAAGACGAAAAAAAAGGGTGAAAAGAATTTCGATGCGGTGTTCGAGTAGAATTCTGTGAGATGATGATATACTCTCTGACTCGTAGCTTGATGTGCCGAAGTGTTTCTATCCAGATATCTGTTGATAGTATTATAGAATATAGAAGCCTGCCATGACCTTCTGCTCGTAACCGACAAGTCACCGCATTAGAATTAAATTGCAAATAGTGTTCAACAACACGATGGTGGATGAAACTTTCTAATATTCGAAGATATATGACCTTCAGACCATATGGTTTCATTATTTTTTATTCAATCAATCAACGTCAAAGAATTGATTTATCATCGCTCTTCAACTTATTATTTCACATTTTAATGTACTTTCATTCTTATGCATCACGAAAGAACACTGAATTGTTTTCCCTGTCTAATACTGATACAATTTTTAATTTTTCTTAATCAAGGCAAAATATTATTTTCATATTTTCTTATGCAAGACAGAGAGAGAGAGAGAATATGTTAAGTGAGAATTATCGAGTACAACTATGAATTGCATCCTTTTCAATATTATTCAATTCGCTGAAAATATTCAGAATATGAATATGATAAATTCACATAATACACCAAGGCTGTTCAACGCATCCAACGCTCCAACCATAGCCCATATGCCAATGCACCATATTTATCAAATATGAAAAGATTTTTAAATGAAATTTGAAGAAAATTCAAATTTACAATGCACTAACAGGCATTAGTTGAAATCATGAATTCTCTGTGACTGGCTTAGCACTAGTTTCTGAGGGACCAGTCACTAAAGAGGAGATAAATGGAAGGAAAATTGAGGAAGAAGTAAAGAAAAGAAGGGGGATATCAGTTGCAATTTTCCCGCCAACAAGTTGCGGATGTGGGGTTGCCCGGGTTGGGGCAAAAGGCCTTTACCTCCCCCGCCCCCGCTAAAAAAAAGAGAGAAGGAAGGAAAAGGAAGAAAGGAGAGCTAAAAGGGACCAAAAAAAGAGGAAGACGAAAAAAAAGGGTGAAAAGAATTTCGATGCGGTGTTCGAGTAGAATTCTGTGAGATGATGATATACTCTCTGACTCGTAGCTTGATGTGCCGAAGTGTTTCTATCCAGATATCTGTTGATAGTATTATAGAATATAGAAGCCTGCCATGACCTTCTGCTCGTAACCGACAAGTCACCGCATTAGAATTAAATTGCAAATAGTGTTCAACAACACGATGGTGGATGAAACTTTCTAATATTCGAAGATATATGACCTTCAGACCATATGGTTTCATTATTTTTTATTCAATCAATCAACGTCAAAGAATTGATTTATCATCGCTCTTCAACTTATTATTTCACATTTTAATGTACTTTCATTCTTATGCATCACGAAAGAACACTGAATTGTTCTCCCTGTCTAATACTGATACAATTTTTAATTTTTCTTAATCAAGGCAAAATATTATTTTCATATTTTCTTATGCAAGACAGAGAGAGAGAGAGAGAGAATATGTTAAGTGAGAATTATCGAGTACAACTATGAATTGCATCCTTTTCAATATTATTCAATTCGCTGAAAATATTCAGAATATGAATATGATAAATTCACATAATACACCAAGGCTGTTCAACGCATCCAACGCTCCAACCATAGCCCATATGCCAATGCACCATATTTATCAAATATGAAAAGATTTTTAAATGAAATTTGAAGAAAATTCAAATTTACAATGCACTAACAGGCATTAGTTGAAATCATGAATTCTCTGTGACTGGCTTAGCACTAGTTTCTGAGGGACCAGTCACTGAAGAGGAGATAAATGGAAGGAAAATTGAGGAAGAAGTAAAGAAAAGAAGGGGGATATCAGTTGCAATTTTCCCGCCAACAAGTTGCGGATGGGGATGGGGCAAAAGGCCTTTGCCTCCCTCCCCCGCCCCTGCTAATAAAAAGAGAGAGAAGGAAGGAAAAGGAAGAAAGGAGAGCTAAAAGGGACCAAAAAGAGGAAGAAGAAAAAAAAGGGTGAAAAGAATTTCGATGCGGTGTTCGAGTAGAATTCTTTAAGATGATGATATACTTTCTCGTAGCTTGATGTGACGAAGTGTCTCTATCCAGATATATGTTGATAGTATCATAGAATATAGAAGCCTGAAATGACCTTCTGCTCGTAACCGACAAGTCACCGCATTAGAATTAAATTGCAAATAGTGTTCAACAACACGATGGTGGATGAAACTTTCTAATATTCGAAGATATATGACCTTCAGACCATATTGTTTCATTATTTTTTTATTCAATCAATCAACGTCAAAGAATTGATTTATCATCGCACTTCAATTTATTATTTCACCTTTTAATGTACTTTTATTCTTATGCATCACAAAAGAATACTGAATTGGATTCTTCAATGTTTGTATTGATTAATTTCGTCCCCTTTCCTTCTCCCTGTTTAATACTGATACAATTTTCATTTTTTCTTAATCAAGGCAAAATATTATTTTCATATTTTCCTTATGCAAACAGGGAGAGAGAGAGAAAGAGAGAGAATACTTTAAGTGAGAATTATCGAGTACAACCATGAATTGCATACTTTTCAATATTATTCAATTCGCTGAAAATATTCAGAATATGAATATGATAAATACACATAATACACTAACGCTGTTCAACGCATCCAACGCTCCAACCATAGCCCATATGCCAATGCACCATATTTATCAAATATGAAAAGATTTTTAAATGAAATTTGAAGAAAATGTAAATTTACAATGCACTAACAGGCATCAGTTGATATCATGAATATTCTGTGACTGGCTTAGCACTAGTTTCTGAGGGACCAGTCACTGAAGAGGAGACAAAGGGAAGGAAAATTGGGATGGGGGTAGGGCAAAAGGCCTTTGCCTCTCCCCCGCCCCTGCTATAAAAAAGAGAGAAGGAAGGAAAAGGAAAAAAGGAGAGATAAAAGGAACCAAAAAAGAGGAAGAAGAAAAAAAAAGTTGAAAAGAAGGGGAGATAGATCAGTTGCGGTTAATCCCGCCAGCAACGTACGGAGAAGGGTGGGGGGAAA